ATATATTATTTATCTTAAATTCATATCAAAACCTTCCAAATGCAAGTTCAGCATCTTGTGAAAACAACGTTTTTAAGATATTAGGTTATATATAGATCTTTCAATATCATATGTTATTTCCTCCCTGTTACTGATTGAAAGAAATGTTGTACAGAAAATGAAACTTTAGTTTTGCTTACCTTCTTACCTGTTTAAAGTCGATACGAAACTGGAACAGCTTATATCCTGTGGAGTGTCAAGAAAAAGAAACGAAAGTAGACAAAACAATTTCAGGAAATGGACAGGATTTAGAACACTCTACAAAGTCATTATTATCGGCTGATGAAGATCCTATCATACAGATTTTTTTCCCAATTTCTCATTTACAATGTATTTATATCTTTAAATCCCGATTTCAAAAAACACATATATATTATATAATATATTTTTTGACGCTAACAGAGGGAACTGGCGTAAGTTGCATATTTCCAGTCCTGCCAGTTAATAAATGTTCCGTTGTCTTATCACCTAATCTTTGTTATTAAAAAAAAATAATAATAAATAAATAAATAAATAAATAAATAAAAAAATCACCACCAACAAACTTTTTTAGGTTCTGTGTGACATTTAAAGGTCATTATTTTTTTCTACATCTCTTCCTTTTGTTTCCCGTTTCATTCTTTTTACAAAACAAAAATGCCGTTGCAAGGGAGATTAAATGAAAGAATAATCAATTTATTTTTTATAAACTTTCTGTACTGTTACAATACAGACCCCACTTCACTCAAAATTTTACCCCAAGCCTAACCTCGAGTTCAGTAATCAACCTGTTTCCCAGGCCCTAGATACTTTAACGAGGTTGGATCCTGATATTTAAAGTCTTAAACTTTTTTTTCTCAAGTATATTTTTAGTTTCTACACACAAAACTTAATTAAAAATCAAAACAAAAAATGGGGGTCAATATGCTTCTTCTGGCGCTACAGTACATTTAATATGACCTTTTTGCACTAAAATTTGTGTCTAAATTAAAAGTCACATCTTCGACATTTTCCCTCCAATGTATTTATCCAAATAAATCATGGGACAAAACAAACTATATCAGCCTGTTTTAAAAAAAAAGACACATTAAAATTGTGACTAAGAAAAAGTTTCAAATTGCTTAGCATAATCAATTGTTTGACCTTTCTGACTCACTAAATGTGATTTTTCTGGCATTAAAAATTTAACAAGCAAGAAAATTATTTTAAAGTCTTAAACTTTTGCTGAATTTAAACAGACTGATCAAAGTTATCTTATATATTCAAAAAAGGAAATCAAAAGTGGGGATCTATGATGTAAATTATTGGATATTACTAAAAACAGGTTTATGATAATAAAACATTTATGGGTATTGATCCTTGCTATTTTGTATTTGCCACATTTTCTTTAAATAGAAAAGTCGTATGTGTCCTCTGCGCATGCGCAGTTTCTAGCGTCAGTCGCCATTTTTATTAATTCACAGAGGAATTCCCCAAGAAAATAAGTAACCACCACCCACCCCACCTCCTTATTTTTTGAATATTGTGTAAATTTATCCAATAACATGTAACTTTGATTGTATTAGTATTGCGGATGTGCCCCATCTTTTCAATCACATTCTGTATATTATGTAAGAATATTGAGCCTACTTCAGAGAAATACTTTATTATGTACATCACATTTTTGATAAATATTGCATAATGGTTTGAGAACTATGTTTAGTATGTTTTGCTTTGTCATAATTGTTGAGAACTATGTTTAGTATGTTTTGCATTGTCTTATTTGTGTTTACATATACATGACTTGTTTGATTATCCTGTCATTTATTTGACTAAATAAATGACCTCTTCTATTCCTATACAGAATGTTATGTGTTGTCTTTATTAAGGAGGTTATGTGTAATCAGGTACCCATAAAAAGTGTTAAATGTTAATATTGGCTCAATTTTTTCCTGGACTTTCAGAATATACATGTATTAACTATATATTTGTCACAATATGATGAAAAAATTCATAAGAAATAATTTAATAGATATTTCAAAACCAGCATAAAACATTTCACTGCAAAAAACAGCTCTGTGTGCAACCAGCATAGAAAAATAGGAATCTAAACTTAACAATACTGTATATATTTCAAAAGGGAAAAATTGATCATTTTCTTCTAAAAAAAACCTTCCGCCACAAAATATAGTTCCTGGCTTAATCCTATTTGAATGGAATTTAATCGCAGTTTTTTCATTGGATATAGTTTAATTTGCATTGTAGAATCCAGATTTAGTGTTAGAATTTAAAAATGATGCAGAATTTTAGAAATAAAGGTCCAGATCAAAATCTGCTCAAAGCTCAGGATCGAACCTCCTTAAGGTCAGACTATGGAACGCCATTATCACATTACAAAAGTACATTACTTGGTGTGCAGCTAATTTTACATGATTTAAAAAAAAATACATGATGACTTAAATGGTGTCTTTGGAAAGTTTAAATTCCACACTTTTTTTTGATATTCTTATTTTAATTTTGTGTGTGTGTAGGGAGGGGTACCCAAACTAATGGAACGCCTTGCTGTCTTAAGGTGTGGTACATCATATTACATGGTGTGTTGTATATTATAAAGGGTTGATTCAATATAATTAAATGGTCACCACTACTTGTTCAAGGGTGAAGGACACATAATACATGGTGCTTTCTATATAATAAAGGGTCGGTTCATTATCATGTTGAATGATCACCGCTACTTGTTATAGGGTGACAACATAAATGGTGCGTTCAATATAATGAAGGGTCGGTGTACTATGTTAAATGATCACCACTACTTGTTATACGGTGATTGGTGTGTTCAGCATAATAAAAGGTCCGTTTAGTATGTTAAATGGTCATCAGTCCTTGTTGTGGGGTGAAAGGTACATAATTTAAATGGTGCGTTCAATATAATAAGGGGTCATTTAACCACCGCTATATATTTGTTATAGGGTGAAAGGCACAAAATACATGGTGCGTTCAATATAATAAAGGATCGGTTCATTATGTTAAATGGTCACCGCTACATTTTATACGGTGAAGGGTGTATAATTAATTGTGTTCCACAGAATGAAGGTTTAGTATGTTAAATGGTCACCACTCCTTGTAATAGGATGAAAGGTACATAAATGGTGAGTTCAATATAATAAAGGGTCGGTTTACTATGTTAAATGGTCACCGCTATTTGTTGTAGGATGAAAGGCACATAACAAATGGTAATTAACACATTTAAAAATGCGTCAAGTACATTAATCAATGTGCAGCTAATTTCACATGGTTTTAAAAAACCACAGTTCTCTTTCAGTATTCTTATTTTAATTTTAATTTATTGATTTTCCAATTTTATTTTAATATTTCATTTATTTTTTATCTTAGTTCTAACTTCGTGTTTTTCCAATTCAATTTTTCATTTCATTTTGACCTTTTTACAGACGTTCCAATTTTGATTCTTTTAGAATTAACCTTAAAAAATTTATTTCACTATATACACCTGCTTTTATTTCAGTAAAAAAAATGTGTAAAAATACGAATGTTGGAGTTAGAAAGTAAGAGTAAGTAAGTTAATAAAAAGTTAAAATATAAAAGTTAAAATGCATACTCCCGATGAAATTTTCTAAGCAAATTAGGACGAGAGGGGGCGCTGCGACCTCTTATGCACAAGTTGAATATACATTGAGGTCTTGTGCAAACTATCAACGAAACGTACCGTAAAAAATATTTTCCCGGAACATTTTAGGAGTCGGCCATTTAATTCTGAAAGGGAAGCTGGCAAATTTTTCAGTCTCAGATTATTTATTTTTATATCAGTATCGGACAAATTAATTATTTCAAAGATGATCTGGGACAGATTTAATTTTCCTGTTCATGTTAAGTTAAAAAAATCTATTTCAGGGAGGTATCCAAACTCTTTATTTTCTGGGGGACACAACAAGATAAATTTATTTATTTTCTTCCCAATGGGGAACTATTATTTATTTCTAGAATCTCCCAGCAATATTAGATAGGTATTTGACGTCACAGTTGCATCATTGGAAACGTGGATTCAACCTGAATAATAAAGCAAATTTTAAACTAAATTTATGTTTGGAGGTGAAATATTAACCCTGTTTTTGAATAACCATATCATTATATAAACCAATCATTATTTGTTGAATAATATTCTTTAGTGTATCAGTTCTAAATATTTCACAAGGGTTCTTAGCCGATATCCAGATGCTACGGGAGATAACTCTTGAGTCACAAAATTTCATAAAAATGGCGGTCTGTTTTGCAAGAAAACTACTATTGAAAATATTTTTCGCACTGATTTTATTTTTTAAATTGAAAGATGAAAATTTTTTTGAATTAGTTCGGAGTGAATTATAGATTTGTTGAAAATGTATTAGAATTTACAGTTCTTTGTTTCCGACCTACATTCAATGGTTTATATAGGGGAATTCAAGAACACAAAACAAAACGATATTTTAGTAAATAAACTATTTTCAAACAAATCTTCAATTACATTATTTCACATGGACTACATTGATATCGTTTTCAATAAAATATCAAATATTTGTCACATTTGATGTGCCGCCTATTAATACAATTCTGCCTGGTTTTCTGATGGACTGCCTCTTAATAGATCTATTCAAAACCTCTGGTAATGCATGCTGATTTTTTTGTCTGCGAACATCTGATGGTACTATAATTTTAAATTTTAAGAATATCTTGAAAAATTATCAGTAGGTAAGGTACGTTGCGTATGTCCTTAACATCAGTATTTCAATGGTTTACTTTTGTTGTATATCGATTTCTTTTAAATCTCATTATGTACAGGATCAGAATATTGAGTTGTTTAATAAATAAGCTGAGAACCCGGACTTCTCTCTTAGCCTCAACCCAATAAAACCCCTCAGTATCAATTTTCCCTTCGAGACTTAAGCCCAGTTCACATGCGCTTAGAGGTGTAAATATTACATTGCTTATTAATATTATTTGAATAAAATCACCTGCATAAAGCCTTGCTCTCACCAAAAGACTCAGCAGATGTTCATATATCTGGAAATTTTTTTTTTAAAAAATTAACAAACATTTTAGAAGGAGATGATAATTTCTTGTGTCTTTAAAATGCTTTCCAAGAACATACAAGTGCAACTTTAACTGTTTATGATCAATTTATGGTTATGAGAGTACATTTGGATATATATACAAATCAGGAAACTTCATCATTACCTGATGGAGAACAATAATGGCCTCAGTTGACATCTGAAATTAAAAGAAATGATAATTAACATGAACAAAAAAGGACAACAGAAAAAAAACCCATTCATTTCTTTAAAAAAAATGTCTGAAGACACACATACAGTCATTTCTTTATGTGGACTGAGGAGGTTCCTGGTCTGCCTGAAGGTGTTTCTGAAGTGAGTGCTGGGTACAAGAGATGTCAGTAGGCAGGCCGCAGCACTCCTCACTCTAGCACTGTTATTGGCCAGGAGATGTCCATCTGACTCAGGACCCACTGACTGGCCAGTCTGTTTCCGGTCACTCGTACAGACATGCTGAGAACAACACTTTGTCAGCTGAAACATAATATATAGAGAATTAGGTCATGATTGTCCTTACATTCAAAGTACAAGTATGTCCAATAACAAAACTCTAAAATCAACTTCACAATCATTTTGTCTGTGTAATACTAATACAGTTTACTATAGTTTACAACAGTTTGCTACATACCTCCCAGAATTTCTGCAGTACATATTGAGTGAAGGGAGGGAGGCCTGGGGGACCAACCTCCAAATTCCACCAACATCGATATTAGCTTGAAAAATGGCTGCGAGTGCTGGACATTGAAAATCTTTCATGCATTAAGACTCAAAATCTCAGATAAAGTTGAACTGAAAGCAGTAAATTGAATTTAAAATTAAAAAATGTTTACTTTAAATTATTGATTGGTACATCTCCACAGCTAGTTACTTGTTTGACTCTAATAATCATTGATATTGAACAACATATTATATAAAGATGTGAAAGTTATGGAATGAAACTTTGAGTTCCTTACCTCGAAATTTAATTTCTTAATAGCATTGAAAACCATCTGAACCAACTGAAAAAGTATATATGAATCAAGTAAGAAAGAGCATGACGACTTCATTAATTTCAAGCTTTAGTGCTGTAAATCTCATATTTCATGTGACTTTAATTTAACAAGACAATTATTTGCGATACATGATTTGTACTGAAATACCTGGGGTAGAGTGGGGCCACAAAGGGGAATCATTTTTTTCATTGAAATATAATGGAAAAATCTTTAAAAATCCTCTTCTCTAGAACCACTGGGCAACAAAAGCTGAAACATATTTCGAAGCATCCTGGGATAGTGTAAAATCTTTATTGTTCAATTCATGGCCTCTAGGATAGGGTGGGGCCACAATAGCGAATCAAAGTTTAGCATTGAAATATATTGGAAAAATCTTTAAAAATATTCTTCTCAGGAACCACTGGGCCAGAAAAGCTGAAACTTATATGGAAGCATCCTGGGGTAGTGTAGATTTTAAATTGTTCAATCATGACCCCTGGGGGTAGGTTGGTGCCACAATAAGTATCACAAGGGAGAAAATCTTGTGAAGGACAGTAGGGCCAAAGTTACTCAGGTAAGCGTTGTGGCACATGGGCCTCTTGTTAAGTTAACCCTTGGTTTAGACCACGAAGGGTACATTCTATTCCGTAGACAACATCAGATAATTTGCAGTTCAGATTTTCCTAAGTTTTGGTATAAAAGCTTTCTCCAGTATGATTGCTACTAAAAGAACAACTTGTAATCAAAAGATCACAATTTTTACGATTTTTGGCAAAAAATCTCAAATTTTGAATAAATACAAACTGCGCTTAAAATGTGATTTGATTGATTCTTATGTTTATACCATTTAAGCAACGGATTCAGTTTTCCGTCATTGCTAAAAATAAACCGTACTGTATCGTTGATATTTTGCAGATAATGTACAATTTCTGTACATTTTCATAAGAAACGCCCGCTAAAAGTGTTCTGTATCGCAGTTATTTTTTGGTTGCCTTCAAAGGAAAACTCGCCGGGTCATGTCACAAAAGTTACTTCCTATGGTGTTTGGATAGGGCCATTTGCAAAAGCTCAACAGCGCGTTCAGAAAAACACGACATCGCGCTAACACACAACACGCCATCACGCTAACACAATTATACAAAACACGTCATTGCGCTTATACACAACACGCTGTAGAGCTAACACGCTTTCAAACAACACGCTGTTGCGCTAACACAACTTTACACAACATGCCGTCGTGCTGTCACACAACACGTCGTCGCGATAACGCAACTCTACACAACACGCTATATCCTCATTGTGATGCCACTTTAGCGCGAGTTTCTCCGTGTATATTTACACAAAAATGGCTTTCAAACCAATTTCCCCGCCTGGCGAAGTGGTTAGAGCGTCTGCTCTAGAGTCGCAAAGTAAGACGTTGATTCTTACGTCGCGGGTTCGAATCCCACTGTGGGACGTGGAGACCGGTCCTTCGGATGAGACCGTATAAACCGAGGTCCCGTGTCGCAGTAGGTGCTGGCACGAAACAGATCCCTCACTGCTCAATGGCCGTAAGTGCCGAGTATAGGACAAAATTTGCAGCTCTCCACCGGCAAGTGGTGGCGTCTCCATATGAGTGAAAAATTCTCGAGAGGGACGTTAAACAACATACAAACAAACAAACAAACCAATTTCACAGTTGGCTTAGTAGAGAAACACAGCAAATGTAAATATTCAATGATGTGTTAGCGCGATGGCGTGTTGTGTGTTAGCATCACGACGTGTTGTGTGTCAGCGCGACGGCGTGTTTTCCTAAACGCGCTGTTGAGCGTTTGCAAATGTCCCTATCCGGACACCATAACTTCCACTCATATGTCGACTCGATGTATCCCACTGAACTTGAAATAAAAGACACTGCAGAATCTGCCACATCTGTCTCATATTTGGAGGTATTACTGAATATTGACGACAACGGCCAACTATTAACTAAATTGTATAATAACCGAGATGATTTCAGCTTTTCCATCGTCAATTTTCCTTATTTATGTTGTAATATTCAACTATCACCTGCATTTGGTGTTTACATCTCTCAACTTATTCGATACTCAAGAGCATGCTTCGAGTACGAACAATTTTTAAACCGATTAAGGCTTCTGACAGATAAGTTGATATAACAGTGATTTTAACAACCAAAATTGTGAAATTCCTAGCCCCAGGGTCATGGTGTTAGGGCGGGGCTCTATTGATCATATAGTGAAAATGCATAAATTCTTTAAAAAATCCTCCCCTGTACATAATGCAGATAAACTAGGTGCATGGTTATAATGATCAAGGGTGCCTCTTCCAAAATAGTGAAATTTGTGGCCCCAGCGTGAGGGGTTCTGTGGAAGGGGGGCTCAATTGATTATTTAGTGAAAGTGCATTATTTCCTAGAGAAATCATCATCTCCTTCTTGGTATTTAGCAGATAAACCAGGTATATTGTTATGATGAGCAAGAGCACCTCTTCCAAAATTATGAACATATTGGCCCCTGGGGCAGGGATTCTGGTGTTAGGGCGGGGCTCTATTGATTATATATTGAAATTGCATTCTTTGAAAATCTTCTCTGTCCCTGGGTATTTAGCAGATAAACCAAGTATATAGTTATGATGAGCAAGGGGAACTCTTCCAAAATTGTAAAATTTGTTATCCCAGCGTGAGGGGTTCTGTGGAAGGGGGGTTCTATTGATTATATAGTGAAATGGGACAAAATTTTAATAATAATCTACAAAGATTAAGAGAGGCAAATGTGAGGGGGAATGAAATGTGTTAACTAATAGTACTCTAGAATTATTGTACTGTTTAGTCCGCTTGAGGATAGTGACAAAGGGGAAAAGTACAGGCAAATAAATAGATCAACTTTAAGTTTTGTTACTGAGAACTAAATTAATATTTTGCTGATCCCTGATCATCCTATTTCTTTTGCTTTTGGTCGACATAGCTTTATTTATCAGCTTATTTTGTTTTAATCTATGGGTCTTTACATTATATCAGGTGACCATTAAGGCCCTTGGGCCTCTTGTTTATTGTATATTTCATTTTTCCACTGTGTCATATTGTATCAATCAAAACATATTAATATCACTGTTATACTTTCACTTTATTAGTGAGAAAAATAAGAATCTAAACACCGCCAAAAATGCGTACATAAAATACAATTTATTTTTTGAAAAAAGTATCTTTTTTGACAGTAGGAATATTAAAAATTCAGTCGAAGCTGCCACGTTTATTAAAATGAACGTAAAAAATTGGCAGTAATGGAATAAAAGTAAACATTATAATCTACATGTATGTAAACAATCACAAAAAACACCTCTAAACTTTGTATAAATTGAATTAAATGCACAGGAATAAAAATTAAAATTAAATAAAAGCATAAAATATTTCTTTTCAGTAAACTTTTAAAAAACTGAGCACACATAGGAAAAATATGCCTAAACACGTACATTCAAATCAAAATTTATGTTCTCTCTCGCCATATAATAGCTTGAATGAAAAATTACTACCTGAAACATTATCATGAGTTTTGCCAGTCTTGTGGACATTGTTTTTACATAATGATTTCGGACATGTCTAAAAAAAAAACAACGCCTTTAATCACCCTCCTTGCTTGATAAAAAATGCTAAAGAATTATATAAACTAAATCCAGATTTCATTTTTTCTTTTTTTTTTCTTTCTTTCTTTTTTTTGGGGGGGGGGGGTGTTTTTGTACAAAATTATTGCTGATCGTTTCATAGACAAGACGGCGGAACATTAACTGGGAAAATAAGGAAATGGGTGGGTACGATTCGGTCCGGGTGAATGAGAAAAATGAGAAAAATGGATAGAAATTCAAGTTTGACATTTTGACTTTAAGAGATGGAAATGACATTTATAAGTTGCATATTTCCAATCTTGCCAGTTAATGTTCCATGGTCTTAAGGTTCACTGTAACTAGAGTTAACATAATGAATAAAAATAACATGCGAATTATTACATTTGTCACATAATGGTTATTATTTTTTCTTTATTTATTTTATAAGTTAACTTTTTTCAGAGTTCATTGTACACAATTAAACAATACAACAATAATGTGTAAAGCCAAGTTATGGAGGCAGGGAGGCATCAGATGAATACATTATATTACATCCGCATCTATTTTCTTCGGGATCCAGAGCCACCACTTCCTGTAAAAATTTTTAAAAATATTTTAAGAGAGCTCTGAAAAATAGTCTCTGTACCAGTATGGTTATTTTAAATTCGTAAAGCAATATGAAAAAGTCAACTTGATTCCCCGTTTGACAGCCAGTTTTTTAAGTTATTGTACCAGCATTACTCTTCGGTTCTGCAGACTGGGGCCTTGACAATTTCAATATTTATTTGAAAATATCCTTATTAAAGTATATGGTCTATTGCGAAAAAAAGCGGTCTTCCTTTATATCTTGTAGTATTCATACTGCTTTAAGGTATCCGATCCATAATAGCCTCAGATTCAATGAATCTGAATGCATAACAGATATATTTGGCTGAATACTCAGTATATGTAGACATAATCTTCATGTTTTAGTGTCAATATGTAAGAGCGGAATGTGTCCTAATTTTTGACCTTGTCCTGTCCTTGGAGAGTTATCCCCCTTTGCTTTTAATCAATAAAAATCAATTCTAACAAAAAATCTATCGGGTAAAAAATTAGTTTTCAATCGTTTTTCTATTCCTAATAATTGAATAAATCTTTCCACCACAGCATTTTTTTGATATTCTTAGTATTTAAATTTTTATTTTCAAAAATTTACTTGTCCCCATAGACCTCAATGCATACTTCATTAATTGATTACTGCTTAGTTAATTATATTTTTGAAAATTTCTCCTGGTAAATCCTTTTCTACTCTAAAATGCTTTGAATTAATTTCCGAGTATTTAATACAGGATGGATATTTAAGGTTAGAAAATGAAATGGTTTATTGAATGCCGAAGCTTTCCGCACAATTTATAAAGAAAATATATGACTCAGGTGATTCAAGGTATTGATATTACATTATATCACCTTGTAAAACCTGATATCTTTGTATATCTCCACCCTGCTCCGGGGACAAATTTGAACAAACCTAAATCAACTCTTCACAAAATGCCTGCAATTAATTTTGTCATTTTGATTATTTACAATCTATTTTAACCTTTTTGCTGTGATGTATCATCAATTTAACCATCAAAAGTATTTGTCAGTATTTTGAAATGAATTCATTTTTATTTTAATTAAAGTTCTTAATAAAATTTGCTAATGTCGTTTAAACTAGTAAAGTTATGTGAAGAACTTGGGCTGGTCTGACATCAGTATTGCCTGCCCAATGATTGTCAGAGTAATGAAACTGATCATATATGCCATGCCTGTCAATAAAGAACAAGGTTCACTTGGGGCCTTTTTTGGCCCTGTGAATTTACGAAAAATCAAAACCGCTCATATCTAGTTGAAAATACAATAAAGAAGATGGGTGAACAAGGCGTGCAGAATGCCTATAGCTTCAGATATTTTAAAAAACATCAATTTGTAAATTAAGTATTTAAAGTAAAGTTCTCATTATTGAAATTTATGAAATTATGATCAACAAAACTTTTCTGAGAAAAGAAAGATCTCGGAAAAAAATATTCTTTTATTAAAAAAATAAAATGGTATTCGTGGAATTAAAAAACAATAAAAATCTGGAGTATCATTTTGCTTTAAGACTAACACGCTAACCACTACGCTACACAGCTTCTGATGAATAGTGGCATTTAAATCATGTTTGTGATATGACCCTTAATGGACTTCAAGTATTTCTCGGAAAGATGCGAATGCCCTGTCATAAGAGTGTACTTTTAAGGTTAAGTGGGCCTTTGCTCCATGTTTTTTAAACCAAAAAATGTATATTTTTATGTAAACTTTTAGGATTAACTTTCAATTTGTTTAAGTATGAGAAAATGATCCTTTTTGCCCTCTTTAATATGTGTATGCTATTTCGTAGGCAAATAATTTCAGTCACTATGAGATTTTTGTAAATTGTAAGAATTTTACATAAAGTATACTTTAATGTTAGATGAAATATCAAAGAAAATTTCGATATAATTGAGATTTTATTTTTTACTTCATGTTTTTCGCACTATAGGCACTTCGCCCGCCTTGTTCACCCATCTTCTTTCACTTGGACTCTTGGTAACTGCATATCTATTAAAATTGGCGTAATTTTCTCACTAGTCCATGTATTATGGCATCATTAATTTCGTAATTATCCCCAAATTCTGAATTTATTTTTAAAAATGGCCACAAATATAACCTGTTTTTCAATATTTTGCATATACCCCAACCTCTGATCTAACATGTTTAATTATATAATGAAAGAACTGTTTCAGAAGATTATAATCCATCTTTTATTTTTTGGATCACAGGGTGGACACATATTTTAATTCTTTATTGAAGGTGCTCAAATACACCCATTTTCTTCAAAATTAAAAAAAAACCATAGCAATTTCACAAAGCCTGTTTTCCAATACCTGGACTCTCAGGGGAAACTTTTTTTATAGGAGATGAGAGGACTAAGTCTCTACATAATATTGATATTTGAAAGGGGACATTGGGACTTAGTCAGTTAATCGGTATATGGGCAGGGCCATTCTATGGATGAAGTGAACCTAGCTTTTTGTCGATAATTACATGCAGAGTCACGACCAAAACAACAAAAGCTAGTAGATACATAAATGAGGATGGAATGTCGAAATACCCCAACATTTGTTTGCAGATGTTTAAAAGTGCACTATGTCCTGTAACCGTGATTGTATGAAAGTAAACATACCTTGTACAAAATATCCGGTGCCTTGAAAACTTACATTCGGAGGACCTGTATAATGTAATAGAATTATCAAAACCAAACTTAAACATTAGCAATGAACAATGCAAAGTTGTAATTCATTAAACAGAGTCAATTCACTTACCTGCACCTGCTGGAGTACTAGTTAAAAGATTTGGAAAATGAACTGAAACAAGAAAGTTTTATCTTGTTAGCATTAATAAAAGATTTACCAAGTAAATCCTATCACATTATTTTCTCTTTTTTCCCCCTAAAACAGTGATATTTATCGGCGGTAGTCATTCCATTCGATGCGTAAGATTAAAGTATCAAAATATATATAAACCTCATATTACTTCCCATTCATAACATGCGTCCAACAGAAAGTAGCTTCTAAAAAGAATAAGTAGGAAATAGCAAAGACTTTACTTTTAACTGAGTACATGTCGTTCAGTAGACTAAAAGTTACTTGGGAAATTATTAAGGCGCATCATTAAGTTGATTGCTGACCGACGTGTTTATACTAATTATGGGTTCTATTAACTCAATTTATAATTTAGCAATGTTTTGCCAGTGATAAAAACTACCTTAATTGAGAGTTCTGAAACAGCAATTTTTACGCCATAAAAAATCCCCTGGTTCACTGAAACAAATTTTGTCTGGAAATTGTAATCTTTACAGCCGGTGACCCTTAACTTGATAAATTATTTTAAATCAAGATATACTTTAGTAGATCGAGATCATATGCAATTGCTGACTTCTACAAGACGGCTAGACATAAAAGTCTCATATAAGCTTTTCTCAGTCACCTCATCCTGAACCTACTTCCAATATTTGTTTAATGTAAATCATATACGGTACCAATTTTTATGCACTAGATGCGTATTTCAACAAATTATGTCTCTTCAGTGATGCTCATGCCGAGACGTTGGAAATCCGAATTATTTGAATAAAAAAGACTTTGAAGAGCTGAAAAAAGGTGCCAAAAACTGGAGACAAATACGTAGAAGGATCAGAGGTATGCATGAAGGAGATAACCATTTAAATACTATATAATGATTGAAAAAAAAGAGACAATTTACATTTTTCACGTTTAATTCTATACAAAAGACCTTTTCATTCCATAGGTCCTTGCACACTCATAGTTTTTGTACAGTTAGTGAGTAACATATTTCCCCCCTTGATAGTCAGTAATTTTACTGACCTTAATTTGGGATTGATCTACTTTTACAAACCTTAATTTGGGATTGATCTATTTTTACAAACCTTAATTTGGGATTGATTTATTTTTACTAACATTAATTGGGGTATTTTTACTGACCTTGATTTGGGATTAATCTATTTTACTGACCTTGATTTGGGATTGATCTATTTTTACTGACCTTGATTTGGGAATGATCTATTTTTCCTAACATTAATTGGGGTATTTTTATTGACCTTGAATTGGGATTGATCTATTTGACCTTGATTTGGGGATGATCTATTTTACTGACCTTGACTTGGGATTGATCTATTTTTACTGACCTTAATTTGGGATTGATCTATTTTTACTGACCTTTTTTGGGTATGATCTATTTTACTGACCTTGATTTGGGATTGATCTATTCTACTGACAATGATTTGAGATTGATCTATTTTGACTGACCTTGATTTGGGATTGATCGCTTTTTACTGACCTTTTCTGGGAATGATCTATTTTACTGACCTTGATATGGGATTGATCTATTTTAACTGACCTTGATTTGAGATTGATCTATTTTTACTGACCTTGATATGGGATTGATCTATTTTAACTGACCTTGATTTGAGATTGATCTATTTTTACTGACCTTGATTTGGGATTGATCTATTTTAACTGACCTTGATTTGAGATTGATCTATTTTTACTGACCTTTTTAGGGATTGATCTCTTTTTACTTACCTTGATTTGGGAATGATCTATTTTCAATCGTACCATCAGCAGCATCAACTTGTTCCCTCAGTTCTCTACTTTCATTTCTTGTCTGTTCTAGCTCTTCACTCAAATGTTGGCATTTGTCCTTTAGGTCAAAGCTTTCCTGGTGATATTTGTCACGTTCTCCTTTTAATTTTTCATTTTCATCTATAAAATTAAAAATATTATCTTCTATATAAAGAAAAGAAGTGGCGATATAATTTTTTACTAAAAAATTTCCACCCTGCCATATCATTCAACGGGTAATTTTTAGCATTTTAATACAGTCTGTATCAAAACAATGCAATTTGCGATTGTACATGTTTTATACGGCAAATCCCCATGCTAATCGATGGAATTTTACTAAGCATACTTTTTTAAAAGTTATAAACGCCTTTAAAAAGTTATAAGCACCTTTTGAACATAACTTGATATAGTAAACAAAAATTTCTAGCGTTTGCATAAATATTTTCGCAATGTCTTTGCGTTTACATTCATCAAATTAGTTTAAACAGGACTTAATCATTTGATCATTAATCAAAGCGGATGTGAGTGAATTTCCAACTAGGGGGAATATGGTAATCATTCTATTGTGTAAAAGTTGAACCAAAGGATATGTAAAAAGATCCCTCACTGCTCAATTGCCCTGAGTGCCGAGTATAGGTCAAAAATTTGCAGCTCTCCACCGGCAAGTGGCGGCATCTCCATATGAGTGAAACATTCTCGAGAAGGACGTTAAACAACAAACAAATTTGCAGGATGGGACATAAAAAAACCGAGGCCCCGTGTCACGGCAGGCGTTGGCACTATAAAAATTCCTTACTTCTCCACAGCTCTAAATGGCAAGTTGAATCAGTGAAGAATTCTCGAATGGGACATTAAACAATATACAAGCATTAAATCAATCTCGGTAGACTTGTAAAAAATGGGACTTTAAATCAACAATAAATTATCAATCGATCAATCTCGGTAAAGACTTTTAAAATGAGTCTGAAAAGTAATCAGTATAAATTAAAAAAATATATTTCCTGAAAACAATTTGAACCTTATTCATATACCTTAAAAACTGTTTCCACATTACATATTATACTTACAAGTAAGCCGATCTACCTGCCGTTGAAGATCATGTGCACAATCTTTAAAAATAAGTAGTAAATTGATGAACATATTTTATTGAACTTAAAAATTATTTTTTGTGGGGAATTTGACGTCTTTTATTAACATATCACATCAACAATTCTTTAAATGGAGATGATCTTAAAATAAAAAAGAGAATTTGAATCATATTTTCATCCTACATTGAAAATTGTTTTTGTTTTACCTTTTTTCTCTTCCAGCAATCTCCTGTTGCTCTCCGCGAGAGAACGGTAATTTCTTACATCTGCTGTCATGTTTTCTAAACGGTGGCCATTAGAAGACAATAATTCATTGATATGTCTGTTTTTCTCTAGATAATAAAATATAGTAAAGGTATTTAATTTAGCAATGGTATTTAAGAGTATTTACTTTCAAATATGGTAATAGGCTTTATTATTTTTCAAAAAAATTTTATATCTTACGCCAAAATACAATATCGGTCGGCAATAAACCCGTTTGTCTATACATTTTTTTAATATTTTTGTTGGTATATTTCGTACAATTTATTCTATCTTTCACTGCACTGCAGCTGAAGTCAGATTATTCTTAATACACTTTTCATGATACTTGCTATTAATTCGATAGAATTTGGCATTCCATACAAAATTAAGCTTTGTTTGATATATTACATTACAATGTTATGCAATTGACAGCAAAAAGTAATCGAGTAAAAACTTTACCTTCGTTTCACTTTGATCAAGAGGTAAAGTATTTAGATTAGTGACACGTATGTTCTAACTTATCGTTCGCGAGGATCTTACCTTTTTCCCTCTGTAACTCTAAATTTGTGTCTTGCAAAACTTTATAGTATTCCTGCAAATGATCGCGTACGTAGCCTGATTCTTCCAGACATGCACGCAGACGGGTGTTTTCATCTGAAATGGAGTTTTATCTTTTAAGTTTGGTGACATAAATTTTATGCATATTTGTTTTGCAGTTAAGACACTTATCATAATATCTCTTTGTCCATAAAACATAGATTTCAAAACTATTGCATATATATCATTAAGGGAAAAAAGTGCAAGTTCAGCAATAAATTTTTATTCACAATTGATTTTTTATATTGAATAGATCATGTCAGCATCAACAATTTGTCTGTAGCTTTCGATCAGTCTTATATAAATCCTATTATATCCAACAGAGTATCAGAATAAACGACAAGTGTTTTATGATTTATAAATGGATTAATTAGTGGAGTTTATCAAGTAAAGCATGAAATCGAAGCTAAAAAAAATGATATATACTCAGTATTTCCTTCAGTGCTGCCCCCTAAACTTTAAAATTGTATGGTTATTAGTTTTTTAAAAGATATGACTTTTCCCCAATAAATAAAAAAGGTCCCATGTTGAGCATTAGTTCGCTCTAATTTTATCAAATGTAACCTTTGATATATATAAAAACATAATCACCTAAAAGAGACCGCCTGTCTTCTTCTGCTTGACGTTTCTCCATTTCCACTCTTTGTAAATTTAATATTCGATACGCCATTTCCTGTTGACTTTGAATGGCCTTTTGCATGCATTCTGAAAATGCAATATCTCTATTCAGTATAGCAAATGAACAAAATAAGCTAAAAACTATTCAAATTTATTAAAAGTATATTTCTGAATCTTAAGAGCGATCTTTTCTATCAATATGGTTTGAATTCGAAGAACTTTAAGAACAGATTCAAGAATTATTTTGCAAAACGAAAAACATATTCTAAGTTATAGCGTATCGCCATTGCAATTAACGTTCATGGACGTCATTATTTTAAAACGTTATTTCTGAACCATTAAGGAAAGTTAAAATCACACAACTTAGTTTATTTCAATCATAAGTTGTGTCATTTACTTTTAAAAGCATTACATACTTTTATTCTTAACAGAAACTGACAAACAATAGGCCCATGGGCCACAACATTCATCTGATTCACATTGGTCCTGTTGCTCTTAGAAGAATATTATCTAAAAGATTAAAAGGTTTTCTTTCCTTTAAAAGATTTGTTTTTATACTAAAGTTGAATAATGAATATTCAGTCTACCTGATCAATACGCAGGGCTCACTGAGGGTTAAACCGGTCAACGGGGGATTCTTACGCCTCCTAGGCATCTGATCCCACCTTTGGATTTTCCAGGATTCCGTGTTTTATGCCATGTTCACAGATTTGTATGGTTTGAAGTTTTATTTTTGAGATATCACTTTCGATATCTTTACCTTTTTTATTGTGGTTCAATCCTACCCCCTTGGGGTCATGATTTGAACAAACTAAAATACTTGCATATTTTAAATATCACAAATCATGGCTCTGGTATTCTTGAAAAAATTTAAAAGATTTTTTTTCTTCTGTGACTCTAACCTTCCCAAGACAGGGAATTGTACAAATCTGAATCTGAAATTCTAAGGATGATTGCATATCAATATCACTAATTATTGCCCTACTGATCTTGAGAAGAAGAATTATAAATAAATATATTTTTTCCTATATATTTCTATGTAAAATTTTGAAATCTTATTGTTGCCCAACCTTATCCAAGAGGCAATGATTTTAACGTATCTGAATCTGTACAACCTGAAGATGCTTATAATATCAATATGACTGATCAAGATCCAGAAGTTCTTCGAGAATTTCTTTAAAAGACTTTTTCCTAAACATTTTCATGTAAAATTGTTGTCAACTTTACTCTCAGGAGTCATGCTTTGAACAAACCTGAAATCTCTATTACTGGAAGATGTTTGAAAATTAAAATGGCTGATCATGGCTCTGCTGTTCTTGAAAAAAGTTTTTTCTCTATTTATTCTTATAAAACAGATTTGAGCCTCTTATGGGGTTCCCCCGAATACCCTATACAGCATCCTATTTTCACTATATCTCAATTACTTTCTCTTGAAAGATTGTGTACCTCATCGTTTTAACACTGAATACCTTTTAATAATAATGGTTTTTGGCAAGTTTGATTGAAATTGACCCAGTAGTTCTGGAGCAGCTGAAATTATGAAAAGTTTACAGACAACAGCCGTCAGGAAAAATACTGATCAGAAAAGCTCACATGAGCCTTTGGTACAGTTGAGTTAAAATGTGAGGACACTAGATATAAAAGTTCTCTGACAACAAGTCTTGTACTATATCCTGTTTTAGATAAGCAGAAAAGAAAAGAATAAACTTAAAATTTTATAAGGACGGACAGTAAATGTCCTTTCTTGTTTATGCAAAATTTAATTATGCTAAAGTCAACATATTCGTACCATTGGCATATGTTTTTTCGGCCTCCTTCATTGCTAAATCGGCGTTAAGCTCCATTATCTTCTTATCACGCTTATTTAAGTCTCCTGTTGATACAGTAATATATAAAGAACAAGTTAACAATGAATTCTTCCTCTGATTCATGTAAATTTATGCTGGATAAATTTGCTTTTGTAAGTACATATAACAGATTTACCACTTAAATGAAGAATGTGGTCTTCAACCTGTTTCTTCTCATTCATTATGTCCTCCAGTTCTCCTGACAATGAGAAATGATAGAAAAATACGTCTATATTTCTCTTGAAAACAAAGAGTTTATATACTAGTTTACAATGATAATTATTAATTATGATTAAATATATCTTGAAATCCATTTTTTACACCCTGTCCCCTTTCCTTGTCTTTACATTATTCTAAAACAGAGCAAATAATTTCTCTGAAATCCTTAACTGATTTCTCAACGGAAAGTAAGTAAGTGTCAGTCAAAATGGCTCCAATTTAAATATTCATTTAGCTTTTAGACAGCCTTGACTTGGTATACTAGTATTCTGATTTTTTCAATTAGATCTAGTAACTAAATTCATTTACACACACTAAACAGACTTTTCTTACTTATATTAAAATATCTAATAATTTACACTCACAAACGTTTCCTTTCTTTAAATTTGTTCATAATATGATTACTGATAAATATCCAGCATCTTGGGCTCTCGTTTAACATATCGTTATTTTATTTATATATATACTAATCGTCATTAGATGTATTTAAATCAATAACACTTATACTAATAAACAGCCATTACAAGGTAATAACTTACGCTTAGTTCGGGTGAGTTTAGATTCCAAACTTTTATTTTCTACTTTTTTTCCTTCCAACTCACCTGCAAAATTTATATTGCATCATATGTATTAGATAAAATATATGCAAACTTATTATTATAATGAATAATGATAGGATATATACAGAATTACACACTTATTGTTTGCGCATTTTGGTTCCGTAAACGCCGAATATCATCCGTCAGTTTATTTATTTGTTGGTGTTGGTTTTCTTTTTCTTGATTTGATTGAGCTGAAAAATGAAATTAAAATGTTTAAATGCAAATGCATTTTCTTAAAAGGAAGAAAATATAAAAGTGAAAGCAATGGTAATGTTAGAAAATACAAAACAATTCGTTTAATCTACCACTGTAGTGCTCATTAAGTTCTGTTAAAAAATTCAATATTTAAGTGCATAATTGACGACTAAATCAAGTCATAATTTTCTCTTTTTGAATAGGTCTACTTGATATTTGTTACTAATGTGTTATTGATTAAGAGCATGTTTTTATTAGTAAGCTTTACCTGTCAGCATTTGTAATGCTTCGTGTAGTTTTGATTTTTCTCCTTCGTGCTGTTCTTTCGTTGCTGTCAGCTCACTTTCTGTTTGAGCAAGTTTTTCTATGACATAAACAAAACATTTTTATATTTCCATCCCTTTTCTCTGTGATAACTCTGAGCAAGTTTAAGTGTGTTGATTTCTCGATAATTACAACAGAACGTTAATCGCCGAGTGAAAGGTCAACTGCCTAATATGAATGTTAATTTCCCGCGGTTGCTACTGTGTTCGACATCAGTGGGCAGTGACTTTGGAAATTAATATTGAATGCCTTCTGTACTTCATATCTATTACCCATCTGATACCTTTTGTATTTATATTTAATTTTTAATTCACATATAATTTTAAATATATATTTGATGGAAATGCCATTTACGATAGTTGGAAACAAGGGATAATTTATGAATAACGGGCTTCGACTATTTTGCAAATTATCCAATTTTTCAACTGTCGTTGATGCCTTAGCATACCTAACAAAGTAAACAATGATTCCTTAAACATTTTCAAACAAATTCTATATAAAGCAGTGTAAAATTTAATTGTTCTCTTTCTTCTTATCTCTCTGAATCACGAATAATACTGGCATTATATTTGTAGGAACTCATATTTTACTTTGAATACTTCAACTTAGAAAAAAATTAACCCCTCCCCCCTTCCAATCCCCAAAATGAAAGAGTAAAGAAAAAACAAAGCAAACAAACAAAAACAAAACCAACAATCTTTCCTCTTGGAAATCCCCATACACAGGTCTTTTATCTAAGGTTTACAAACCTTTGGATAAATGGAACTGTCTTTCTAATTGCTCTTTCTCTTGTCCCAATTTCTCCAAAGAAACTTTCGATAGAAAAAAACGAATCAGAATTAATAACATAAAAAGAGATGTCAGTAAGTATTATAAAATGAATAAAAACTGGGAAAAAAATTATTAGCAAATTTGAAAATAGTTTTTAGTTTAGAAGTCTCTGATGGAATACTGATGACAATGTGGGAAACTAAGAAATGTAATAAAGAAAAAAAGTTGTTTTTTTTTTTAAATAAAAATCATTTTGCTTAGTTATTTTATTTAAGAACAAAAATCATACCTTTAATTTTTTTTGCCGCCTCTTCTTCTTCCAAATATTTGTGAAGAATACCACCGTTGTCTGCTGTAATCATCAACAGAACAATACCTTCATGCATTATTATTAAGAAATCCCAATCCCAGCTCTTGAGAAATTCAAAGCATTAGCTATTTACTTCAAAGGAACACGTCAATTAAAAAAGTTCATTTGTTGTAATAATATTGTATCTTTGGACTCTCTTGAAATTGTTAATACGTTTATGATGCAGTACACCATGACATTATATCGAAACAATTAATAAAACTTAAGAAGTACTAGTAGATGATAGGACATACAGATCTATCAAATCAATCCTTGGAAAAAAATCCTTCGGGAAAAATATTTTTAACAGTGATGGAAGACGGAAAATCCAAGAGGATCAAGTGTATAATACTCGAAATTTTAAAACAAATTCTTCATTCTACCTTCAAATTTTAGTAGTACGGTATGCAATTATAATATGAAATTCCTCACCACATTGTTTCTCAATCTGACTTTTCAAATTTTCCATTTCTTCATTAGCCTCCTCTAGTCTCTCTAGAAATTATAATCAACTTGGGAGATTAAATAAACTAGAAAACTCCTTTTCTTCATCAAAGAATTTCACTTCTACTTATGGTAATATAAATCAAATACTAATTGAAGAACACTTTAAAATAAGTATTTATATTCCATATTTTCTTTGTATTCAAATGTACTCAGTCTTTGAGATTTTATTACTCGATATGGTTCAAAACATCTTGAAGGCGTAAAAAATGAGTAGAAAACCCAAAAGAGACTAACACACAAAGAAGTACTCAAACGTGGCTTTTTTGCCTTTAAAACAGGTTAAATTAGACATAAAAATTGTAATTTATGAAGGCAGCAAAATATTCTAAAGCAAATTTAAAATATCATTTAAAGCGAAAACATACGCTGAAAATTTTCTTCTCTTGTTTTATGATTATGTAAATCCTCCTTCATCTTCTGAATTTCTGTTAATCTTTTTTCTCCAATGCTTCTCTCTTGGCTGAGAGTATCTGTTTGTATTGATAATTAAAAAACACAATGTAGCTATTTTGTCAAAAACAAGATTATTGTTTACTTAAAAACCTGAAGAAATATACGAGTTTATATTAATGATTAATGTATACCTGCTATTTGTCCCCCCTTCTCTCTCTCTCTCTCTCTCTCTCTCTCTCTCTCTCTCTCTCTCTCTATATATATATATATATATATATATATATTAGGGATGTCAAATCTGTCAATATTTGATAATCGGTTACTTGGACGATTTTCCGATCGAGTACCCGGGTACTCGGAAAAAGTGTTTATACATGTAAAAGTTTGAGACCTGTTTACCACATCGATGTTTTCTTTCGTTTATAACATGTTATAATGCATGTACATAAACATGAAGACCAAAGAAAACGATTTTTTTTACTTAATTTATTTATTAAACAAACACAAAAGATATGATCAATTAATACACCAATAATTACAAATGCTTTACAGTTCTTATTTATGAAGACAATTTGGTCAACGGAAGAGAAGGACGCAACTTTGTAATGATTAGACTAGCGAGAGAGAATATCTTTGGGAACAGTGGGGAATGGACTCTGTCGTGATCGCGAGTCGTATATTATTTACGTTTGCTAATGTTTTCTTTGTGATAACTCTGAAAGATAAGTACAGTTGTATGTTAATTTCTCGATATTTACATCTCCATCCGTTATGCATAAATTATTCCACGTTTCCAACTGCCGTTGATGCCCTGGTATGCACAGCAAACTAAAAAGTGATCAATTCCTTTGATTCCTTTAATATATGGTTGTTTCCACCCTATACGCTAAATTTACTATGCACATGCAGGTGCCTTTTAACATTTTTTTTTAATCTTCGGTTATTTATAAATATTTCTTCACTTTTGAACAGTCTGGTGAATTGGTAGCGGTATTTCTATGTATGTCCGATTTCGTTTCCGTATGCTAATTGAATAAGCATAGAATAATTAATAGATCATAATTAAACGATGTTCATTGAATACAAATAAAGAAAGCCATCTAAAAATTAGGGTCACAAGAGGTGAGAATGGCTGTGTGTAGTGTCTAGTGATTAATTACATGTACTGTATATACACGAACACAGCCACAGGCGATAACGGGTATTAACTGGTGTAGGTGACGGTAATTACTGTGTAGACATGGACAATGCATATTTAAATCACATTTTTTGATAGGTTTTTAATAAATATATGCACTTTGAAATATGAAAAATATACATCGGAGTAACCGAGCACCGATTTTAGTATTCGATACTCGGACGTTGACATCCCTAATATATATATTCAAGAGGCAATGATTTTAACGTATCTGAATCTGTACAACCTGAAGATGCTTATAATATCAATATGACTGATCAAGATCCAGAAGTTCTTCGAGAATTTCTTTAAAAGACTTTTTCCTAAACATTTTCATGTAAAATTGTTGTCAACTTTACTCTCAGGAGTCATGCTTTGAACAAACCTGAAATCTCTATTACTGGAAGATGTTTGAAAATTAAAATGGCTGATCATGGCTCTGCTGTTCTTGAAAAAAGTTTTTTCTCTATTTATTCTTATAAAACAGATTTGAGCCTCTTATGGGGTTCCCCCGAATACCCTATACAGCATCCTATTTTCACTATATCTCAATTACTTTCTCTTGAAAGATTGTGTACCTCATCGTTTTAACACTGAATACCTTTTAATAATAATGGTTTTTGGCAAGTTTGATTGAAATTGACCCAGTAGTTCTGGAGCAGCTGAAATTATGAAAAGTTTACAGACAACAGCCGTCAGGAAAAATACTGATCAGAAAAGCTCACATGAGCCTTTGGTACAGTTGAGTTAAAATGTGAGGACACTAGATATAAAAGTTCTCTGACAACAAGTCTTGTACTATATCCTGTTTTAGATAAGCAGAAAAGAAAAGAATAAACTTAAAATTTTATAAGGACGGACAGTAAATGTCCTTTCTTGTTTATGCAAAATTTAATTATGCTAAAGTCAACATATTCGTACCATTGGCATATGTTTTTTCGGCCTCCTTCATTGCTAAATCGGCGTTAAGCTCCATTATCTTCTTATCACGCTTATTTAAGTCTCCTGTTGATACAGTAATATATAAAGAACAAGTTAACAATGAATTCTTCCTCTGATTCATGTAAATTTATGCTGGATAAATTTGCTTTTGTAAGTACATATAACAGATTTACCACTTAAATGAAGAATGTGGTCTTCAACCTGTTTCTTCTCATTCATTATGTCCTCCAGTTCTCCTGACAATGAGAAATGATAGAAAAATACGTCTATATTTCTCTTGAAAACAAAGAGTTTATATACTAGTTTACAATGATAATTATTAATTATGATTAAATATATCTTGAAATCCATTTTTTACACCCTGTCCCCTTTCCTTGTCTTTACATTATTCTAAAACAGAGCAAATAATTTCTCTGAAATCCTTAACTGATTTCTCAACGGAAAGTAAGTAAGTGTCAGTCAAAATGGCTCCAATTTAAATATTCATTTAGCTTTTAGACAGCCTTGACTTGGTATACTAGTATTCTGATTTTTTCAATTAGATCTAGTAACTAAATTCATTTACACACACTAAACAGACTTTTCTTACTTATATTAAAATATCTAATAATTTACACTCACAAACGTTTCCTTTCTTTAAATTTGTTCATAATATGATTACTGATAAATATCCAGCATCTTGGGCTCTCGTTTAACATATCGTTATTTTATTTATATATATACTAATCGTCATTAGATGTATTTAAATCAATAACACTTATACTAATAAACAGCCATTACAAGGTAATAACTTACGCTTAGTTCGGGTGAGTTTAGATTCCAAACTTTTATTTTCTACTTTTTTTCCTTCCAACTCACCTGCAAAATTTATATTGCATCATATGTATTAGATAAAATATATGCAAACTTATTATTATAATGAATAATGATAGGATATATACAGAATTACACACTTATTGTTTGCGCATTTTGGTTCCGTAAACGCCGAATATCATCCGTCAGTTTATTTATTTGTTGGTGTTGGTTTTCTTTTTCTTGATTTGATTGAGCTGAAAAATGAAATTAAAATGTTTAAATGCAAATGCATTTTCTTAAAAGGAAGAAAATATAAAAGTGAAAGCAATGGTAATGTTAGAAAATACAAAACAATTCGTTTAATCTACCACTGTAGTGCTCATTAAGTTCTGTTAAAAAATTCAATATTTAAGTGCATAATTGACGACTAAATCAAGTCATAATTTTCTCTTTTTGAATAGGTCTACTTGATATTTGTTACTAATGTGTTATTGATTAAAAGCATGTTTTTATTAGTAAGCTTTACCTGTCAGCATTTGTAATGCTTCGTGTAGTTTTGATTTTTCTCCTTCGTGCTGTTCTTTTGTTGCTGTCAGCTCACGTTCTGTTTGAACAAGTTTTTCTATGACATAAACAAAACATATTTATATTTCCATCCCTTTTCTCTGTGATAACTCTGAGCAAGTTTAAGTGTGTTGATTTCTCGATAATTACAACAGAACGTAAATCGCCGAGTGAAAGGTCAACTGCCTAATATGAATGTTAATTTCCTGCGGCTGCTACTGTGTTCGACATCAGTGGGCTGTGATTTGGAAATTAATATTGAATGCCTTCTGTATTTCATCATCTATTATCTATCTGATATCTTTTGTATTAATACTTAATTTTTAATTCACATATAATTTTAATTATATATTTGATGGAAATGCCATTTACGACAGTTGGAAACATTGGATAATTTATGAATAACAGGCATCGCCTGTTATGCAAATTATTCCATGTTTTCAACTGTCGTTAATGCCTTTGCATACCCAACAAACTAACCAGTGGTTCCTTAAACATTTTCAAACAAATTCTATATAAAGCAGTGTAAAATTTAATCGTTCTCTTTCTTCTTATCTCTTATATGAATTACGAATAATACCTGCATTATATTTGTAGGAACTCAATTTTTACTTTGAATACTTTAGCTTAGAAAAAATATTACCCCCCCCCCCCCATTCCAAGAAAAGAAAGAGTAAAGAAAAAACAAAGCAAACAAAAAAAAAAAAACCAACAATCTTTTCTCTTGGAAATACCCATACACAGGTCTTTTATTTAAGGTTTACAAACCTTTCGTCAAATGGAGCTGTCTTTCTAATTGCTCTTTCTCTTGTCCCAATTTCTCCAAAGAAACTTTCATAGAAAAAAAAACGATTCACAGTTAATAACACAAACCAAACAGATATCAGTAAGTATTGTAAAATGAATAAAAAATGGGAAAAAAAATGATTAGCAGATTTGAAAATAGTTTCTAGTTTTAGAAGTCTCTGACGGGATTTTGATGACAATGTGGGAAACTAAGAAAAGAAATAAAGGAAAAAGAAGTTTTTTAATTAAAATGATTGAGCCAACTTATTTTATTTAAAAGCAAAAATCATACCTTCAAATTTTTTTGCTGCCTTTTCTTCTTCCAAATATTTGTGAAGGATACCACCGTTGTCTGCTGTAATCATCAACAGAACAATACCTTCATACATTATTATTAAGAAACGAATTTGTGTTCAATACAAAAATATCTATTGCTTCCATTAAAAAAGTATTTATTTTAAACAAATATTCAGTCAATAACCTATATTTTACTTTAATAGTGCACACAATCGCAGTTCTTAGGAAATTCAAAGCACTATTTACTTTAAAGGAACACTCAGTTAAAAAAAAAGTTCATTTGTTGTAATAATATTGCCTCTTTGGACTCCATTGAAATTGTTAATACGTTTATGATTCAGTACACCATGACATTATATCGAAACAATTAGTAAAACTTAATAAGTATTAGTAGATGATAGAGGCATACCTATCAAATCTTTGGAAAAAAAATCCTTTGGGAAAAATATTTTTAACGGTGATAAAGGACGGAAAATCCAAGGGGATCAACTGTTTAATACTCGAAATTTTAAAACAAATTCTTCATTCTACCTTCAAATTATAGTAGTACGGCATGCATTGATAATTTGAAATTCCTCACCACATTGTTTTTCAATCTGTCTTTTCAAATTTTCCATTTCTTCACTGGCCTCATCTAGTCTCTCTAGAAATTATAATCAACTTGGGAGATTAAATAAACTAGAAAACTCATTTTCTTCATCAAAGAATTTTCACTTTTACTTATGGTAATATAAATCAAATACTAATTGAAGAACACTTTAAAATAAGTATTTATATTCCATATTTTCTTTGTATTAAAATGAAATCAGTCCTTGAGATTTTATTACTCGATATGGTTCAAAACATCTTGAAGGCGTAAAAAATGAGTAGAAAACCCGAAAGAGACTAACACGCAAAGAAATACAAAAACGTGGCTCTTTTGCCTTTAAAATAGATTAAATTAAACGTAAAAATTGTTATTTATGAAGGCAGCAAAATATTCTCAAGTGAATTAAAATTATCATTAAAAGCGAAAACATACGCTGAAAATTTTCTTCTCTTGTTTTATGATTATGTAAATCCTCCTTCATCTTCTGAATTTCTGTTAATCTTTTTTCTCCAATGCTTCTCTCTTGGCTGAGAGTATCTGTTTGTATTGATGATTAAAAAACACATTATAGCTATTTTGGCAAAAACAAGATTATTGTATACCTTAAAACCTGAAGAAATATACGACTTTATATTAATGATTAATGTATACCTGCTATTTGTTCCTCATCTCTCTCTCTCTCTCTCTCTCTCTCTCTCTCTCTCTACATATATATATATATATATATATATATATATATATATATATATATATATATATATATATATATATATATATATATATATATATACACTTTCTTATAATTATTGTTACAAACATTACTTTAAAAAGGTATGTCCCCTGTGGAGTTACGTACCATTCAAAGAACGTAATTCTTTTTGTAGTTTCTCTATTTCAGCCTCCTTTAAACCCTTTTCTGTTAAAAAAAAAGAAAGAATGAGAACCTGTGAGATCAGAAAGATCAACATTTTATTTAAGTACGTTTGTGTATTGTTAAATGTGCATGAATGCATGAATATACCTGGTAGTCCTCTTAAGATATACCCGGTAGTAAAATATGTAAAAACAGAAGAGGAAATACACTAAATACTAGTAGTAAATGGTTTTGTAAAAGAATTGAAGTATAAACATTTGCTGGCTTTTTAAACTTAACCCATTAGGAAACAAATTTGAAAGCCATTTTCGTTTAGAGTCATGCATAAAAATAAACACGGAAAAACGATAAATTGATGTAACAGTGAGGCGACCGAGATGTAAACACTAGAGTTCCTAAGGAACGCGAATGGACTATTTTATAGCTTCATTCAAGTAATAACTGTCCTTTTTTTGTTTTATGATATGATCAATAAATTTGCTCATGTGATAATTTGCGTAAAATTATCACGCCAGCAAACTGAGTGAACATCATTAAAAAAAACAGACAATTTTTCCTAATATAACATTTTTACCTGATCCTTGATTCAATAAAAAAAAATATTTTTATTCCATTATAATACATGTAAATCTCAGTATTCCCGCCAGTAGTATTACTAAAGGCCCTTTCACAATTGGCGCACGAGTAGAAGAGATAAAATATTCGTGCGACTGAAAAATTTTAATTTGGATCGTAAACTGTTTCCGAAATAATCGCATATGAAAAAGTATTCATACGAAATTCGCATGTTGTGCATTAAATCTTGCGATATATCTTGCGTCTATATGCAACTGGTGTACAATGAAAGCGAGTGTTGTAAGATAATGCGATAGGATCGCGCGAGTGATCAGGTTATCGGACGGTTGAACGAGTGCCAATGCGATTGTACGTGCAGCGCTCGTGTGCTCATGCGTTCCATGGTACGAATGCTCGTGCGAGTCAGAGAGGATATATATACCGCCCGTTTCCGGCGCTCTTCAGTTGATATTATTGAATGCAAGAGAAGATGCTTACACAAGGTATATATACTAGTGGCAAAGCATGATAAATTATGCAATCATAGTAAAACGTTACAAGATTACATGAGACACGTTGGGCAACAGTCTCATATTCGCAAAACACACGCATACACAGCTGTGATTCATCTTATGACCTTTAAAAATCGTGCATCACTCTTGCGAGTACACCAAACGTTGTAAGACGTTCGTACTAATGTTCGTGCGCTGCATTGCGAAAATTTGGATCGCATTCGGTCGCGTCTGAATAGTGTGCACGTCCACTATTTTGAGGAGACTTAACTCGACCTCTAAAAAGCATGCAACGAATGCGAGACCTCGCACAACGTATGCGAGAGCTCGTGCGAAGCTAAAACATTCCGATCGCAAAGTGTTGTAAAGTGCTCGTGCGCCAATTTGAAAGGCCTTAAGCAACACACAGCGAGAAATCATTCAGTTCTGTTCATGCTGAGCAAATTGCTTTATGAGGTAATAAAGTTATTACCTTACTTGTGGTTTTATCTCGGACAAAGACATTGGAACATGTAAACATCAACAAGAGGCCCAAGGGCCGTAATGGTCACCTGAGTATAATACAACACTGTTAGTATCCATAGAAGTATAAAGCAAAATTAACTGAAAGATGAAGATATGTTGCCTATGAAATTAAACAGATATGCTTTATCACTTGCCTTGTGCTACAATTTACACAGTACACTTGGCTATTTTGCTACATTAATAATCTCTATATCAATCTTTTATATTGTTTTGCAGACAAGAATCCGACTTTGAGCATGTGTTGCTCATTTATTTTTATTTTGTCCATATATAAAACATTTTTTCTTGTATTCTCATTCAATCAAATACATATGTAACCTGCTAATTAAATTACATGTATATACTAAGATGGCTTGATTAATACAATTTAGCAAAGGGGAGTAACTCTCATTTGTTTCATTTATTACAAGTGTAAACTATGTTTTTCTATGATACCCAAGAGCAGAGAAGAGACACATTTATTTATATTTATACATTTACATTAATTTTTTTATTATTGCATTTAGTTTGCTTAATACTCAGGATGAAAGGAAATTTTCAGAGCAATTAGGCATTTTCGCAATCATCAGAGCCCCGCTAAAACGCCAGGACCCCTGACCCCCGGCTATGAAAATCACAACTTCGGAAGAGGTATCCTTGCTCATCCAAAACATGCCTTAGTTCATCAGCTTAAGACCCAGGAGCAGAGAAGATTTTAAAAGAATCAATGCATTTTTACTATATAATTATTAGAGCCCTGCCCTAACACCAAAAAATCAAAGCAGTAATTCATTTTCACTATATAATAAATAAGCACCCCCCATGGAACCCCTGACCATGGGGTCACATCCTTAACGATTTTGGAAGAGGTGCCCTTGTTCATCATTACTATGCACTTACTTTCATCGACTTTCTACCCAGGAGCAGAGGAGAAGATCTTCAAAGAATGCATTATCAATATATAATCAACAGAGCCCTGCCCTGACACCAGAACCCCTGACCCAGAGGCCATGAAATTCATAATTTTGGAAGAGGCACCCTTGCTCATCATAACTATGCATTAAGATTGTTTGCTTAATACCCAGTAGCAGAGAAGAAGATTTGTTTCATAAATACTAAATAATGCATTTTCAATAAATATTCAACAGAGCCCCACCCTAGCATCAGAATCCCTGACCCTTGGGACATGAATTTCACAACTTTGGTAGAGAGCTCAATGTTTATTACAATCATGCCAATAGTTTGACTTCTTGATGTTCGGAAGTAAAGATGAAGATTGCATTAATTTTGTTGGTTTTAGCCCCCACTCCTCAGGGGGCATGGGCTATGAATTTCACAATTTCGTTCCCCTTCACCAATACATGCTATATGCCAAAATTGGTTCAATGATTGAAGAGACTAAAGTTGAAAATGTTCAAAGCTGAAAATATTTAAAAGTTTACCACCGACGGACGACGACGAACGAAATCAGATAGCAATAGGTCATCTGAGTGACTCAGGTGACCTAAAAATTCATGGACCTATGCATCACCTGTGTGTTAAAAAGGTTACTTTCGTATATTTACATACCTTCATGTGCCTTGGTCTTCATTTCTAAAAACAAATGATACATATCATTTCAAACATAAAAATTATCATGAGATTATATATGTTTTGATCTAATGCAATAAAATGCACATATAGCAGATCAAATTTGCAAGATATATTAGCATACCTAAACATCATAACACAATAGATAATAAGCAAATATAAGTAACACACGTCAACTAACTATTAATTGGAATGGGAACTCGGTAAATAATGAATCTCTACTTACCATTTAATTGTGTTTCAGCTGTTTCCAGCTCCAGAATTCTATGCAGTAAACGGCTATTTTCATCTAGACAAATCAAAATCAATTTCCTATTTTTACACAGATGAGAAAATATCTTCTGAAGTCTGTTACATATCGTAGGATTTATCAAAGGATAAGCATTTATTACAATCATTTATCCACATGTAGATTGAAAATTGAATTAACAAAGCGATACTGTTCACTGAAATCAAAAAATAGTGTGCCAGATTTTATTGAAAATGAAAAAAAATGTTGGAAGTGATGTATTTATAAACAGTCAGATGGACATTTTACTAAAGTATATACCGGAAAAGTCAATAATTGAGAATTGTGTACAACATATCATAATTTTAGTATTTCCATAAAAAAAATGAATCAATACCAGTCTTTTTATCGTTCTCTCTGGTAAGTTGTTCAATTTGTAATTCATAATCCTCCATTTTTTCTGTTATTAAAAAAAAATACTTTTTAAGTGTAAGTAAATTTGTAGACTTGATAGAAAGTACAAAGAAGGGAAAATTTTCATTATTTACTTAAATTCAATCATACACGTACATACCTTGCTGTAAATTGATATCGTTATGCAAATCCCTTATAACTCTTTCGTCTGAGGTACATTCTAAAAAAACATAAAATAATTATTTTAATGAGGTTTTTTCCTGACTTTATTTCAATAAGGTATTCAAATTTTAATGAACTGTAAGTGCGCATTTCATGTGGATGCTTCTATTGTCTGTGTGTATAAACGCTTCTTTCTTTGTCCAAGTTATTAAGAGTCGTTGAATTTAAAAAAGAATCTCACCACGATCTTTGTTTTGTAGATTATTCAATTCCTGTGTCCAAGCAGACATTGCATTATTCTGAATGAGACGATCTGTTTCCTGACTTGGTCCATGGTCAGATGCGAGGTAACTCATACCTGCATTTGTATATTAAAAAATATATTATTACTCTCAGCAGTGTGGCTTCGACTCATAGGAATACATGGTGTGGTCGCTACGACCAATGTATTACATGTAAATTTGTTTTATAGGCTATACCTATATACATATTTATGGTATACGTGTTTTATTGTTAAGGACGACAGAAATTCTCAAAGCGTGAAATGTAAAAACTGCAGTGCACTACTTGAAATATCAATTCACAATCATGAGCTTTATTTTTTAATATGTACATGAACCTTTATCAGTTATATGGGTTATTTCTTTGTTTACTTGTTTGTAAGAGATTGTAAGAGTATTGCATTGATAATATATCATGATGATGGTGATACAAAATTCCTCACCACATTGTTCTTCAACCTGTCTCCTCAAAGTTTTTATCTCTTCATCGGCCTCCGCTAGTCTCGCTATAATTATAATATTTTTTTCAACTTTTACTTTTGGAATTAGTTATGATTATCAACAATCTGAAACAAATCATACAATTATTGAAGAAAATCTTTATATCACTCATAGTCCCGATTCTCATCGGATGCAATAGACCTAACCATTTTGTATTATTACTTGTTGTATTTGAAGAAAAGTTGAAATACTGAATAGATGTAGTTTAGAAAAATGATATCCAGAAAGAAGAGGACCAGCTGTGATACAAAACATATATTTTTTTCGTTATAAATAAAATTCAGTGAATTTACGTTGCTGTATATATCCCGAAGGCTGCATAATAACCTGGAGTTTAATATCAAATTCAAATTTTAAGGCAAAAACACACCATAGAGTTCTTCTTCTGTATTTTGATGTTTTAGTAATTCCTCTTTCATCTGTTGAACGTCTTTTAACCTCTCTTCTCCACTGATTCTTTCTTGGCTGAGACTATCTGTTAAGTGTGTATATGAGAAAACTACGATACAATTATTTGTCTAAAAAAGACTAAAAAGTTGAACTATGGTATATCGAAATCAAACATCTATATCTCCTTTACCATTAATATGCATATAATCAATAATTTTGTTCTGCGTTATTATAATTGTTATAATTATTTTAAAAACAGAATGTCTGCTGAGGAGTTAATACCTTTTAAAGAATATATTTCATTGTTTAATTTTTCTATTTCATCCCCAACGAGAATCTCCTCTGAAAAAAATACCAGAAGTTAAATTAACTGATATCCATATATATGGATATACAGTAAAATTTGACTTATTCGAAATAACTAACTGCAAAGAATTGGCAGCAGAATTAGACAACATTCCAGATAAGACAACATTTTTAAAGGACAGAATTTACTTAATGAGACAAATGAGACAAAGTAAACATCGTGTTTTGCAAGACTTTGGAATATAAATCATACAATTGAGAAAAGTTTTACTGTAGTTTTGTGCATTAACAAATGTTAGAATATTTAAAAAAAAGAATCAAACTATCAAATAGTTATATAAAGAAGTCATTTAAACATAATATTTCACCAAAAAAAATCCACATAGGAATCAATTTCTTTAATATCTTTCGTTTAAAACTTTTTTAATCGCTATATTCTTAAAATCTTTTTATTCATTCAGATTACATGAAAATTAAAGAGGTATCTAAGAAAAATAATTTTAAGGTTCTAGTTTTTACTGTTTTAAGGGAAAAAAGGGGGAGTTTCGATAAGGCTGTTTTTCGGCCCCTCAAGAAAAATAATGAAATTGTGATATGTTGTAGATAAAAGCGTTATCTTCCTTAAAATATGAAAAAAAATTATACTGCACATTTTCTGGTCACGTGATAATTAAAAATTTAAGTATACCCTCTTCCCCATATTTTTGGAGGGGTGATATTTAAAGGGGGTAATGAAGTTTATTTAACGTCAAAATCATAAATGAAATATTACGAATGTGAATAAAAACATCAAATAACCAATTTCAATATTTGAATTTACAGAAAATTAATGATGTTAATTTTATTTGAATGCGTTTTAAAGTGCAAGATTTTTCTCGTATTTTAATTGTAACTCTTCTTTCAAAGAGGATGAATGTAACATATAAAACGTATATGAATAATAAAGACAGGAATTTTCAAAAAATGAATTAATCGACAGTTTATACTTCCACTGAATAATCAATATTTTACATTTTCCCGTACGTAGAAAAGCAAATGTAAAGATATATAGACAAGAGATAGATAAACTTAAACTGTCATTGACAGGTGTTTGACACTGCTTGCAACACATTTTTATCAACTAAAGTTATTGTGCTAAATATAGTATTAATAAAATGTACCGTAATTTCATTAAATTGAATTTTTAAAAAAATCTTGAAATTAACAGATTTCGGAATTCGGTACGATTAAAAAATGCAGTTATTTATATTTTTAAAGTATATTTAAAAGAATCATACTGCAATTTACATTGTATTTAATAATACCAGGCGTATTACTACCAGTCAAAATATTTTATCAAGCTAGTAATTATTAGTCCCATACCGGTGAAGCCGGAGGGGTCTATAAGTTTCCTCATCGTCTGTCCGCCTGTTTGTCCGTCCGTCTTTCTGTCTATCTGTCAGTCTGTTCCACTTAGTTTTTTGCACTTTTCTCTAAACTCTTGCAGATATTGAGCTGGTTTTGGTATTTATAGTGTATCCTGATGAGAAACAGAGTTTGAAATTCAAGTTTGAATTTCGTTAAATTCTGCTTCATTGATTTTTGACGGAATATTACAAATTCAAAAAAAAAAAAAGGGGGGGGGGTCGGCGTTTTTTGTTTTGTTTTGTTTTGTTTTTTTTTAAATCGCATATATTGAGCTGATTTTTGTTTTGGTATATGTGTTAAACTTGGGTTATAGATCAAGTTTGCATTTTCTTCCGCTTCAATGATTTTTTTAAATAGGGCATTTTCAATTTTTTATGGAAACCAGGTTATACTTGGTGTGCCGATAGTGGACTATTATTGCTAATGCAATGCTTACAGAATGTATGAATAAATAGCCAAATGATAAAAAAACTAAAATACATTGAGTGCATGTCTTCTATTCATTCTTAAACTTAAAAATATTTACGCACATAAAGAGGTGCATTATGTTTTCAGCAAAATGAGACAATCCAGGCAAGCGAGGACCTACATGTAATTCCTCGCGCTTCCCAACTACCTTTTGATGCTTATGTTGTTTCACCAACTCTAGTCACTATTTGATTTTCTAGACCATAGCCGCAATTTGTAAATACCAAATGTATATGTTAAATCATATCCTGCAGAAACGTACAAATCAACATCAACATCCAGTCTTAAAATTAATCTACGCTCCCTACATGTAGACCACACGGAAATATATATGAACCTTCTCTAACAGATTGAAGCGATGAGAGTTTCTATTCAAAGGAATGGCTATAACCATATCCATGATAAAGAACGTTAATGAATGGACTTATTCTTAAACTTCTCTTTAGTTCAGTCAGTCATTCGGAAAATGTCAGATCCGGCATCTGTTACAGTTCTGGTAATGTGTAATGCATCATCGGTGCATATTTCTTCAAGATAGGGATTATAGTTACATGAAAATGAGACATGTTCCAAAATATATACCCTGAGCATTCATCAAGAAAATGTAAGTCAGATCTAGCATCTGAAGGAAGTCTGAAAGTGTGCATCCGAAGATGCATCATGAAGCACGTCTTCTCAACAAGTGCTATGGCTGCACTGCTCCATAAACATTAACCTGCTTTAAAAACATTAACCTGGACATTCTTTAACTGAAAATGCAGCATCTAAAACCCTACAGATGACAAGAAAACACACTAAATCAGGCGACTCTGATGATATGAAAAAAAATGATTAAAAACTTTTAATAACCTATACGCCTATAACGATGGTATTACAAAAGCTCCCCCAACTTCGTGTAGGTGAGCTAAATATGTGACGTTAACGTTATACGCGAGCGACGAAATAAGTAGGGAAATAACTATAGGATACGATTATTTTTTCTTATTTAATATTTTCGAGAGTTCTCTTTGGTTTAGAAAAAATATGCTACTTTTGGCTTAGTATTTTAACACGGTGTCAGATCAAGTAACCAGGAGCTTCTAATTTTAGATATGCAAATTTTAGACAATTTTCAATTTTTGGATATGAAGTGCACATGCGACACTCATCATATTTTAAGATATTAGTGTGCAGAGTATATTCTAATTACTGAGCAAAACTAGGTGAGTGTCCCTCATGCACTTCATATTCTAACCATCGATTTATAAATGCCACCCTCTTATATTTTCCCATTAGCCTAATGTTAAAGCATTTGAGGGTACATCTAAGAATGTGCCAACTCTTGAAATATAAATAACAAAAATTAACATATATTTCTTGAATTCTAAACAATTTTGAAAAAATAAAACGAAATTTATTTTTATGAAAATAAGTGGGCCGATAAGCGGCCTTATCGAAACTCCCCCTTTAGGATCCAATCATTTCATATTCCGTATTAGATTTTAACCGAATTAATACAAACATTTGTTTTGCTGTTATTTGATTAATTGATGAATTTATTCATTTATTGGTGATTGATACGAGAATGTTATCCATAAGATTTCTATTTTTGGTGTTTCAGGGATAAATAGTTGGAATTTCTCAATATGCATATTTTGATCGTCAATAATATGAACCAATGCTCTGACGTTATAAGCATTATAAATGGTCAAGCCAAATATATTTTTGTGTTTACAAAACGGATCAATTACTACACATATTAAGCGTCAAATATTAAGTCATTCACAGTTTATCCGAAATACTAGTATATTGTACGGAGCGATTCTCCATAATGACTTTAATCTAATAAAGGCACGCATACATTAAAGTCCTGGAATTTCTCCAAACGTCATGACAAAAGTCTTAAATACCATAAACTTAGACCAAAACAAAAAAAATGGTTGCTATGCGTCATGGCAAGATTGAAAAAAGCATTTTAAAACAAGTTTAGAATCTATTAAGTTTGAAGCTATGCAGAAAGTGACAATGACTGCTTCTTAGAGTTTAAGACCTTATGTTTTAACTACACGGTAAATGTATCCTGGAAACCAACTATCACATATGTTACTATGGAAATAAAGTATTGAAAAATAATAACTTTTTTCACTTATTTTGATGAAATCATACACTGAAAAAAAGCAATTATAGGTTGAAAGCTCCCAAATATTAAAGAAAGATTCCTGTAACATATTCAAAGGAAAAATGTGATATTTCTCATTGGTTGGGATTGGTTGCTAAAAAGGTGAATTTCTTTGGGGTGGGGGTGGGGGGATATGCATGTAGATTCCCAAAACTTTTACGATTGATATTAAAATTTGTATCGTTTCATTGGTCTTTCGAGAATGAATACTATTCGTTATCTTCATATTTCATTTATGAGTTTAATTATTAAATATGTACATGAACCTTTATCAGTTGTATGGGTTATTTCTTTGTTTCCTAATGTGACTCAAATTGTAAGAGTATTAAAATGATTATATATAATGATGTTGATAATGATGTTGATACATGTATAAAATTCCTCACCACATTGTTCTTCAACCTGTCTCCTCAAAGTTTTTATCTCTTCATCGGCCTCCGCTAGTCTCGCTATAATTATAATATTTTTTTCAACTTTTACTTTTGGAATTAGTTATGATTATCAACAATCCGAAACAAATCATACAATTATTGAAGAAAATCTTTATATCACTCATAGTCCCGATTCTCATCGGATGCAATAGACCTAACCATTTTGTATTATTACTTGTTGTATTTGAAGAAAAGTTGAAATACTGAATAGATGTAGTTTAGAAAAATGATATCCACAAAGAAGAGGACCAGCTGTGATACAAAACATATATTTTTTTCGTTATAAATAAAATTCAGTGAATTTACGTTGCTGTATATATCCCGAAGGCTGCATAATAACCTGGAGTTTAATATCAAATTCAAATTTTAAGGCAAAAACACACCATAGAGTTCTTCTTCTGTATTTTGATGTTTTAGTAATTCCTCTTTCATCTGTTGAACGTCTTTTAACCTCTCTTCTCCACTGATTCTTTCTTGGCTGAGACTATCTGTTAAGTGTGTATATGAGAAAACTACGATACAATTATTTGTCTAAAAAAGACTAAAAAGTTGAACTATGGTATATCGAAATCAAACATCTATATCTCCTTTACCATTAATATGCATATAATCAATAATTTTGTTCTGCGTTATTATAATTGTTATAATTATTTTAAAAACAGAATGTCTGCTGAGGAGTTAATACCTTTTAAAGAATATATTTCATTGTTTAATTTTTCTATTTCATCCCCAACGAGAATCTCCTCCGAAAAAAATACCAGAAGTTAAATTAACTGATATCCATATATATGGATATACAGTAAAATTTGACTTATCCGAAAACAACTAGCTACAAAGAAATTGGCAGGATTAGACAACATTCCAGATAAGACAACATTTTTAAAGAACAGAATTTACTTAAAGAGACAAAGTTAACATCGTGTTTTGCAAGACTTTGGAATATAAAGCATACAATTGAGAAAAGTTTCACTGTAGTTTTGTGCATTAACAAATGTGCATTAATTAAATTATTTCCAAGAAAGAATATTTAAAAAAAAAAATCAAACTATCAAATAGTTATATAAAGAAGTCATTTAAACATAATAATATTTCACCAAAAAAACCCACATAGGAATCAATTTCTTTAATATCTTTCGTTTTAAATTTTGTTAATCGTTATATTCTTAAAATCTTTTTATTCATTATTGATTCAGATTACATGAAAATTAAAGAGGTATCTAGGAAAAATAATTTAAAGGTTCTATGTAATTTAAGCTATAAACATTTTATATTACATATTAGATTTTAACCGATTGATACAAACATTTGTTTTACTGTTATTTGATTAATTGATGAATTTATACATTTATTGGTGATTGATGCGAGAATGTTATCCATAAGAATTCATATTTTTTGGTGTTTCAGGGATAAATAGTTTGAATTTCTCAATATGCATATTTTGATCGCCAATGTTACTCGCCAATGCTCTGACATTGTTTTTTTTAACCTGTCTCCTCAAAGTTTCTATCTCTTCATCGCCCTCCGCTAGTCTCGCTAAAATTATAATATTTTTCAACTTTTACTTTAGGAATTAGTTATGATTATCAACGATCTGAAACAAATCATATTATGATTGAAGAAAATTTTTATATCACTCATAGTCCCAATTTTCATAGGATGCAATAGAGCTAACCATTTTAATTTGAGTTATTACTTGAAGAAAAGTTAGATAACTAAATACATCTAGTTTAGAAAAATGATATTCACAAAGAAGAGGACAAGCAGTGATACAACACATGGAAAAATTTAATAATTTATATTTTTTCCGTTATAAATAAAATTCAGTGAATTTATGTTGCTTTATATATCACGAATGCCTCCATAATAACCTGGTATTTAAAATCAAATTCATATTTTAAGGCAAAAACACACCATGAAGTTCTTTTTCTGTATTTTGATGTTTTAGTAATTCATCTTTCTTCTGTTGAACGTCTTTTAACCTCTCTTCTCCACTAATTCTTTCTTGGCTGAGACTATCTGTTAAGTATGTATATAAGAAAACTACAATATAATTATTTGTCGAAAAAAGGCAAAACAGTTGAACTATGGTATATCGAAATCTAACATCGATTTTCCATTACCATGAAAATGGCATACTAATCTAGATGTCCCAACAGTTTTTCTTTATGCATGTTATTAATAATTTTGTTCTGTATTATTATTATTGTTATAATTATTATTTAAAACGTTTAAAAACAGAATGTCCCCTAAGGAGTCAAATTCCTTTTAAAGAATATATTTAATTTTTCTATTTCATCCCCAACGAGAATCTCCTCTGAAAAAAAAACACCAGAAGTTAGATTAACTGATATCCATATACTAATATATGGATATAAAGTAAAATTTGATTAATCCGAACGCCACTATTGCAAAGAAATTGGCAGGATTAGACAACATTCCAGATTAGACAACATTTTTAAAGGACAGAATTTACTTAGAGAAAAAGTTAACATCGTATTTGACAAGACTTTGGAGTATGAAGCATACGATAGAGACAAGTTTCACTGTCGTTTTGTGCATTAACAAATGTGCATGGATTAAATTTATTTCCGAAGAGTAGAGTATTGGAGAAAAAAGTGTCTTTTTTACATCTTCCTTTTTTTAAATCGCCATATTCTTAAAATCTTTTTATTCATTATTGATTAAAATAACATGAAAGTTAAAGTGGTATCTAAGAAGAATAATTTTAAGGTTCAATGTTTTAACTATTTAAAAGGAATAAAAATTCTTGCAGCAAACATTTCATATTCCATATTAGATTTTAAGCAATGAATACAAACATTTCTTTTGTTGTTGTTGTTTAATTAATTGATGAATTTATTTATTTATTGGTGATTGTAACTAGAACGTTATCCATAAGAATTAATATTTTTGGTGTTTCAGGGATAAATAGTTTGAATTTCTCAATATGCTGTTTTCATCATCAATGTTACGAACCAATGCTCTGACGTTATAAGCATCAGACATGGTCAAGCCAATTATCTATTGTGTTTACAAAACGGATCAATTATTACATCTATTAAATGTGAAGTATACTAATACGACAGGCTTTTGAGAAGATCCACAGATAACAATATCACTGAAAACGGCTTTTAAATATGCAATTTTTACATCGATTTGTACAGCTATTTTAGGAATGACTCTAATTCTTGGCCAAATTATTCGAGTTTAACCTGGTTTGGGTCAGTTTACGCTTTATATTCCGCGAAGCGGATTAGAAAACAGCGTAAACTGACCCAAACCAGGTTGTACTCGAATAATTTGGCCAAAAAGTAGAATCATTCCTTATGATTTAATTTTAAAATCATTAAATAACTATGGGTGTAAAATTTCGTTGCTTTTTATTAGTTCAAATTTGCCGCTCAATAATACAACCGTTGTAACGGAAGTAACGGAAGTGATGGGAAGCGAGGGGAGGTAAAAACTGATACATAGGCCTAGCAGCTTTGTTGTTTGTTTACATGTGGTAAGATCGAATTATTGTTTAAAGTTAAAGGTGCATTTATTAAATCTGGAATTTTCCATGAATTCCGAGGACTGGAAATGAGAGGATTGTATGGATACAGATGATTCAGCTGGTTGTCGGGGGTGGGGTGGGGGTGGGGGGGTGTCCCCATACCAAACCAGGTTATACAGAAATAATTTGTGTTCCTTTTTGGATATTAACCAATCAGAGGCTAGAATACAAAATTAAATTATATTTAGGTAAAACCATCATGATGTACATTCAAGCTAAAATGAGACCTTTTTTACATTCAACTAGAATACAGTCAATGACTAGGTTTTGAAAAAATATACATTGCTTAACGATGCTTAATGATGATTTTTTTCTCTCCTAATATGCTCAAATTCCTGCCTTATTGACATCTAATGTGTCCACTTTCTTTGAAATCACAGTTACATATTCTCAATTTTGAACCATTTTTCATTTAAACAAATGAAAGAGCTTATAGGAGAAATTGTATTTTAAGAATAATGAAAATTAGTAAAACGCGTTAAAAATGTATCAAATTTAATCCTCGATATCAATTTAGAAGTAGAAGAAGCATTTAAATATTCAAACCATTTTTATTTTCAGCAACAACAGCTACACAATTTATCAAAATTAAAATAATATTGTTAATCATGAAACTGGACGTAGTCAAATTATATAAACCTTTATTCATAGGTCAATGCTGATACGTTAATGAAAACATCGACAACTTATTTATATTTACTAAAGATGAAGTAATCTTTATATTTTGCATTTTTATGACAAAGACACATGACTAGACACTGTATAATACATACCTTCATTTGTAGTGAAATTTTTGGCATCACTCCCAGTACTAGGCTTATCATTTGTTGCAATGTGTGGTTTGCTCTCTGATGGTATATTAACTTGGTCTGATCGGATCAATGTAGATTTTCTATCTGTTTCCTCTTCACTTCTTGCACTGCCTTCTTCATCATTACTAGGTTTTGTTTCTTCAAGAGAGACTTCAAATTTTTCACGTGTTACAGAATTGTGGCTGTCAGAATTGTGGATGTCACTTTTGTCTTCTCCACTTACCTCCTCCTTTTCAGAAGTTTGAGACTGACTGGATGTCAAATCTCCTGTGTCACGATTTCCTGTTTTAGCATTACCCATAGATACAGTTTTCCTTGTATCTTCAGAATAGTGATAACTAAACTGCTCGTGTGTATCCCAATTTGGGTCACTCTCGTTTGAATTCATATCCTCAAGATAAGGGCCCTCTGAATTATCCGTCTGTAATATAAGGCTTGTTTTGATTGAATCTGCAAAATCTCCATTCCTAGGCTGTTCTGGCCTTTGTATATCCTTACTTGTATCATTCTCATTTGATTTCATATTTTTAACATCTTGACTCTCTGTTTTATCACCATGTACAGAATCATTTCTATCCGAGTCTCCAAAAACAGCTGTTTTATCTGAATCTGCAAAAGCTCCACCCCTAGACTGCTCTGACTCTTGCAAATTCTCACATGGAGCGCTCTCAATTGCATTAATATTCTTAAAATCTTGACTCTCTGTATTATCTTCCTCTTGTGTATCCCGATTTGGGTCATTTTCAGTTAAATTCCTATTCTCAGCACCTTGACCCTCTGAATTATCCTCTTGTTCAAGATCTGTTTTGTTAGCGTCTGCAGTAGCTCCTTTCCTAGACTGCTCTGCCTCTTGTGTATCCCCATTTGAATCATTTTCATTTAAATTCCTATTCTCAGCACCTTGACCCTCTGAATTATCCTTCTGTTCAAGATCTGTTTTGTTAGCGTCTGCAGTAGCTCCTTTCCTAGACTGCTCTGCCTCTTGTGTATCCCCATTTGAATCATTTTCAGTTAAATTCCTATTCTCAGCACCTTGAACCTCTGAATTATCCTCTTGTTCAAGATCTGTTTTGTTAGCGTCTGCAGTAGCTCCTTTCCTAGACTGCTCTGCCTCTTGTGTATCCCCATTTGAATCATTTTCATTTAAATTCCTATTCTCAGCACCTTGACCCTCTGAATTATCCTTCTGTTCAAGATCTGTTTTGTTAGCGTCTGCAGAAGCTCTTTTCCTAGACTGTTCTGCCTCTTGTGTATCCCTGTTTGGGTCATTTTCAGTTAAATTCCTTTTCTCAGCACCTTGACCCTCTGAATTATCCTTCTGTTCAAGATCTGTTTTGTTAGCGTCTGCAGAAGCTCCTTTCCTAGACTGCTCTGCCTCTTGTGTATCCCCATTTGAATCATTTTCAGTTAAATTCCTATTCTCAGCACCTTGACCCTCTGAATTATCCTCTTGTTCAAGATCTGTTTTGTTAGCGTCTGCAGTAGCTCCTTTCCTAGACTGCTCTGCCTCTTGTGTATCCCCATTTGAATCATTTTCATTTAAATTCCTATTCTCAGCACCTTGACCCTCTGAATTATCCTTCTGTTCAAGATCTGTTTTGTTAGCGTCTGCAGTAGCTCCTTTCCTAGACTGCTCTGCCTCTTGTGTATCCCCATTTGAATCATTTTCATTTAAATTTCTATTCTCAGCACCTTGACCCTCTGAATTATCCTTCTGTTCAAGATCTGTTTTGTTAGCGTCTGCAGTAGCTCCTTTCCTAGACTGCTCTGCCTCTTGTGTATCCCCATTTGAATCATTTTCATTTAAATTCCTATTCTCAGCACCTTGACCCTCTGAATTATCCTCTTGTTCAAGATCTGTTTTGTTAGCGTCTGCAGTAGCTCCTTTCCTAGACTGCTCTGCCTCTTGTGTATCCCCATTTGAATCATTTTCAGTTAAATTCCTATTCTCAGCACCTTGAACCTCTGAATTATCCTCTTGTTCAAGATCTGTTTTGTTAGCGTCTGCAGTAGCTCCTTTCCTAGACTGCTCTGCCTCTTGTGTATCCCCATTTGAATCATTTTCATTTAAATTCCTATTCTCAGCACCTTGACCCTCTGAATTATCCTTCTGTTCAAGATCTGTTTTGTTAGCGTCTGCAGAAGCTCTTTTCCTAGACTGTTCTGCCTCTTGTGTATCCCTGTTCGGGTCATTTTCAGTTAAATTCCTATTCTCAGCACCTTGACCCTCTGAATTATCCTTCTGTTCAAGATCTGTTTTGTTAGCGTCTGCAGAAGCTCCTTTCCTAAACTGTTCTGTCTCTTGTGTATCCCCATTTGAATCATTTTCATTTAAATTCCTATTCTCAGCACCTTGACCCTCTGAATTATCCTTCTGTTCAAGATCTGTTTTGTTAGCGTCTGCAGAAGCTCCTTTCCTAGACTGCTCTGCCTCTTGTGTATCCCCATTTGAATCATTTTCAGTTAAATTCCTATTCTCAGCACCTTGACCCTCTGAATTATCCTCTTGTTCAAGATCTGTTTTGTTAGCGTCTGCAGTAGCTCCTTTCCTAGACTGCTCTGCCTCTTGTGTATCCCCATTTGAATCATTTTCATTTAAATTCCTATTCTCAGCACCTTGACCCTCTGAATTATCCTTCTGTTCAAGATCTGTTTTGTTAGCGTCTGCAGTAGCTCCTTTCCTAGACTGCTCTGCCTCTTGTGTATCCCCATTTGAATCATTTTCATTTAAATTCCTATTCTCAGCACCTTGACCCTCTGAATTATCCTTCTGTTCAAGATCTGTTTTGTTAGCGTCTGCAGTAGCTCCTTTCCTAGACTGCTCTGCCTCTTGTGTATCCCCATTTGAATCATTTTCATTTAAATTCCTATTCTCAGCACCTTGACCCTCTGAATTATCCTTCTGTTCAAGATCTGTTTTGTTAGCGTCTGCAGAAGCTCCTTTCCTAAACTGTTCTGTCTCTTGTGTATCCCCATTTGAATCATTTTCATTTAAATTCCTATTCTCAGCACCTTGACCGTCTGGTTGATCCTGCTGTCCAAGATCTCTATTCTCTGAGTCTTCGGAAGCTCCATTACTTGACTGCGTGTCTGACCCACCATCAGTGCATTTCTTATTCTCTCTACGTGGTTCCATTAATACCTCCTCGTCTTTATTCTTCTTATCCGATTCACACACAGCCTCATCTAACTCCTTTGATTTCGTTTGGGCGTTTTCTTTCGATTTGCCTTTTTTGTTTATCGTATTTCCTTTATTTTGATTTTTTTTATGTTTATTATGTTTTTTTTTTGGCATTTTATTTGCCCGGATCAATGAAAAAAGGGAAATTTCAAAATGAAATGTTTTCCTCTTCCTGAGATAATCCTGAAAAGATTATAAATCAAATCTTGAATAAATGGATAACCTTACAGATGTTTCTGTATGAATAATTTTAGAATCCATGCATTTATGTTCAATCATAAGATTCTTTATACATGCATATCAAAATATTACACAAGTGTAAAACTATATAACATAAGTCTAAAAATTTCAGAGTAAATCTCCAAAAAAAAAAAAACAAAAAAAAAAAAAACAGACACTACGCTTCTAATTTTAACACATACTAGTATTCTACTGACAAATCTTAAAACCATGGTAAATCTTGAGGTACAGAATAAAACTTAAGAAAATATAATGAGTAAAGGTTTTCTTGCACCCCCCCCCCCCATAAAAAAAGTCTAATGAATTGAAATGGAGATCACAAAAACCATATAACAATAACTAATAGAAAAGTTAAGACCTGGATATGACTGTATCAAAATGAATACTAGTATCAATATCGTCATACGATAAACAACAGTCATGTATTGTACGTCACCATAGCATATGCACGTCTGTATATTTTCAGTGTACCTGTGTCAAAATAATGAAACCTTTCTTTTAAAAAGTTGATTATTTATTAAACACTTCCATAAATTTTTTTCATCGTCAAACATCACATTGAAGATCAAATATTTGTACCATATTTGTGCAAGATGATACTATTGGATCTCTGCTTTCCAACTTATTATTCCTACTAGAAACTTTGCTTCAATTAGATTAAGAGAGCAGGAACTCTACGCCATTATAATATATGACTATACAATATTAATCTTCCCGTCAGCGTTTTTTTCCCTTATATAACTGGTACCGATAAACGGTACCATTCCCAATGCCAAAATACGTTAATTCTTCCCAATTTTGAGACTAAAATTTCCCAATTCAACTGCCAAGCAACAGACTACGATGACATCGTATTTCTTTGTAAATGAAACATTGTACAAGTTGACTTATAATTTCACTTCCGCTGAAATCGAAAGTAGAGATTAGTCGTAATATGGCGGGACCTGTGGTGTAAACAGTGTAGTGTCATATATTTTGACAAATTGAAAGCATGAAAATGCAAAAACAAAGGCAGTTGATATGAAAAACAATAAATACTTGTTGTTTATTCTTTGAAACACGGAGTATTAGGTGATGAGGTTGGAATAAACGCAAAATACGTTTCATTTGTTTAAATCACAGAAAATTCTCCTTTTTTCTACTTCGATGCTATTTTTCCCAATTGAACCGGTACCGGACCCTTTCCCAATGGGTAGAAAAAAATCGCTGCCCGCTTTTTAGATTAATAAGGTGAGATGACTGCATGTCTCGTATTCATGCCAAAAAAGAGAGAGCATTTCAAACGTTGCATAGTAAATTTAATAATAAAACTGGGAAGTTAAACCTAGGAGATTAACTTAAAATTAATATCAAACAAAACCTGAATGAAATACAGTAGAGAAAATAATGGATCAAATGACCTTTATTTTTTCCTCGCAGCATATACTACATGTGTACAAGTCTATGCTTGTATATTAATCTTTAATGTTTATCGTAATTAATAATGTACAATGTATGAAAAAAATCGTTTAAGAAGATTTTTTTCATTGCACGAGACATACTATCATCCTCTGTATTCTTGTCCAGGGTGCAGAGTGTACTTTACAAGAATAAAGAAATCTCACTATCTTTATGAGTATTGTACCAACTTTCGAATAACATTACACGAGACACAGCGAGACTTCTTGAAGTTCTTCCGGCAAAACTTATACCAACCTTTACACAAGACACCTGACACGTTATTGCAACAACATTCTCATAACGTCAAGGTCCTGAGCAAACTCTATACAGTGTCAATTCTCCGGGACTACTTCCCCAAGGAATAATGCTATGGAGTTGTAGCGTAACGTAATACTGAGCTGTCTGGAGTTTGGGTCCTGAGTCAACATGTTGCCGTTGGACCCCTGACAAATTTCATTCGATATCTTCGGACTTGCTTCTCTCATTGAGTAGCACCAATCAAATTGAAGTAGACAGATAATGTAAACAGAAAGGAATCAGTTGACATGTACACCTAAAATGCAAGTGTTACGCATTGTTTATCATCGAAAGGTTGAGAGATAGGAAAAACAAACAAAATTTGTAATTTTCCCGACAGACGTCACTGCAATCAGCCTGCAAGATAAGGAATGAAATTTGTCAGGAGTCCAACGGCAACATGTTGACTCAAACCCCTGACGTTTAGAATATAAAATAGGCAAATCGATCCTTGACCAATTAATTGTATTGGTACGGTTTATAAATTTTAGAAGACTGATTCTATCTGTTGAATCACATTAAGGCCTTGGTAAATAATATCGTCGTTTTACGGTCTTTCATTCTTCTAAATTATACTCTCCAGTCCGGCTACCCCACCCCCAAAAAACACACAAAAAACCACCATCAACAAACAAATTCCAAAGAACACATTCAATAATGAGTAAAGATGTCTGTCTTTCTTCTTTTATTTCAAATACAAAAAAAGAAAAATTCAGGACTCGATTTTTTTAATATATTTTTCTAAATCAAACTAAATAAATGTTAGATACGAACATTTTTGTGCATTAATATTTTGCTTTGTAATGCTATAAAATCTTCAATAAACAAAGGTTTTCATCAAAACATTAAAAAATGATACCTCATTCTATTTTTACTTTGACCTTAGATTTCACTGAGATATATGCAATACTTTATGAATTATTAAAATAAAAAAAAGATGTTAAAGGTAACATAACGACAAAACTTTAAGATAAACTTGATGACTTCATCATTTCTATCGTCAACTTATCATATTTATGTAGCAATATACCCTTATCACTTGCATATATAATGGAGCCTCAACTAAATTTTATTTGTCTTAATTATATTTTGATTTAAGATCAATGTTTTAGGTAATGTGGAAAGAAATCTTGGCTTCTACTACCAGAGTGAATGTAATTTAACGAATTTATGAAGGAAGTTGTTTATGATTACAAAAGTATCCCGGAATACATTTTATGGTTTAAATTGCCCATTTCCAAATTCATGTGATAAAAGTCTTTAAGGAAATATTGACTGTGTTCATTCAATTTTTTGCAATTTTCTTCTCAGTCTGATATGAATTTTATCTTAATCACATATGCAATTGAAATTGTTCTAAATGTAATAGATATATATATATATATATATATATATATATATATATATATATATATATATATATATATATATATATATATATATATATATATATATATATATTATAGTTTATGTCTTCTAGTTGATTCGATAGGCAAGAACATGCTCTACAAACGAACATTTTCTAAAACGAGGCAAGTTATTGACAATTAAACAAGTTGATGAAACAAGGATATCAAGAGTCTTGTTTAAAGTCAACATTTAGCAAGTTCTATGTTCGAAACAATGACCTTGTCAGCAAATACAATCTATCATTCAGTCGAATGCTTACTTAAGTTTTTGATAAAAATTGTTGTCATTATTTACACACTGAATTGTCTACGGCTTTTTCTGTTTGCCCGATCATGACAGGGTGCACACGGTCAGTGAGACCGGTCGACAGGAGATGCTTACTCCTCAATGGTACCTGATCCCACCTCTGATGATTTTAGAGGTCCAAATTAGCTCTGCTCCCGATTTGTATAGCTTCAATGGAATTTTGAGCTTGATTACTGTTCGTTATCTCCATATTTTATTATTTTAATGCAGTTAAAGTTTTGATATGAGTAAAGTATAATGTTTAAAATCGTATTCCATTGCAAATCTTGATGTCGCTTCATTCATTTACAAGAAATTTTCGGCCGTATAAGCCTTCCGAGTAGATTGCAAGGAACGTTTTAAAGAAAAGTTTTTTTCCTATGTAAAAAGAAAACAAACCATTTCTCGCAAACAAATGCATGGATCTTCTTTCATGCGAAATCATAACATGTCGCTAAAAATCAATTAACGTCCGTTACGATTTTGTTTTAAATTGCACTGACAGAATGCAGATTTTACAAAGAATTGAAACTTACCTGCAAGTGACCATGAAACCTAATATCATCGATTCTAGTTGCGAGTCAACTACTTTAGACAATTACATTTTCGACATAACAAATTGAATTAGACAAAAACAGTTGTCTCTCTTAAAAATTAACTTCCGTAACGGTAATTCAGGAATGTTACTGCGTTAAAGTTATAAAAATTTTAATTGTTTTGGGAGCGAAATACTGCATACTTTTGATTAACATCTTAAAACAAACTTAAATTTTATCTATTGCCGAGCATTTCAACTTTTCTTACTGGAAATTAACTTCCGTAACGATTAACTTCCGTAACTATATTTTCTCCATAATTTTAACTTAAGGGGGCCTGGACACATATTTGAAGTTAATATTTTCTCAAATTTTCTGTATAATAACATTACTTTTATGTTGCTATAGCATTTCACGCGGAAATATTATTAAAAAAAACTTATTTTATCAGGAAATTATTGAAACGTAAACTGTTTTTGTAAACAGGGCACGAGCTCTGTTATTGTCAATGTTTAACGTTTTACCGGGCGTGTTTAATTTGTTAAACTCTGCACACATCATTAACAATACTGGTGAGTTGGTTTTGCTTTCGAATTTTCTGGATTATAGTTTTAATATTTTTCATTAATACACAACAAAGTTTCTACTTGTCTTAAGTATTAAGGATAAAGTTAACTTTGTGAAAGTGCATAGATGTGTCAATCAAACGCGTCCTGAAATTCGTAGTTTCAATAATTTCCAGATAAA